TGAAGATGGAGATGCAGAGGAGATGAAGATGCAGAGGAGATGGAGATGGAGATGGAGATGCAGAGGAGATGAAGATGGAGATGCAGAGAAGATGGAGATGAAGATGCAGAGGAGATGAAGATGCAGAGGAGATGAAGATGCAGAGGAGATGGAGATGGAGATGGAGATGCAGAGGAGATGAAGATGGAGATGCAGAGAAGATGGAGATGAAGATGCAGAGGAGATGAAGATACAGAGGAGATGGAGATGAAGATGGAGATGCAGAGGAGATGAAGATGGAGATGCAGAGGAGATGGAGATGAAGATGGAGATGAAGATGCAGAGGAGATGGAGATGAAGATGGAGATGCAGAGGAGATGAAGATGGAGATGCAGAGAAGATGGAGATGAAGATGCAGAGGAGATGAAGATGCAGAGGAGATGGAGATGAAGATGGAGATGCAGAGGAGATGAAGATGGAGATGCAGAGAAGATGGAGATGAAGATGCAGAGGAGATGAAGATGCAGAGGAGATGGAGATGAAGATGGAGATGCAGAGAAGATGAAGATGGAGATGCAGAGGAGATGGAGATGGAGATGCAGAGGAGATGGAGATGCAGAGGAGAGGAGATGGAGATGGAGATGCAGAGGAGATGAAGATGGAGATGCAGAGGAGATGGAGAGGAGATGCAGAGGAGATGGAGAGGAGATGGAGATGGAGATGCAGAGGAGATGAAGATGGAGATGCAGAGGAGATGAAGATGGAGATGCAGAGGAGATGCAGAGGAGATGCAGAGGAGATGGAGATGAAGATGCAGAGGAGATGAAGATGCAGAGGAGATGGAGATGAAGATGGAGATGCAGAGAAGATGAAGATGGAGATGCAGAGAAGATGAAGATGGAGATGCAGAGGAGATGGAGAGGAGATGCAGAGGAGATGGAGAGGAGATGGAGATGGAGATGCAGAGGAGATGAAGATGGAGATGCAGAGGAGATGAAGATGGAGATGCAGAGGAGATGCAGAGGAGATGCAGAGGAGATGGAGATGGAGATGCAGAGGAGATGCAGAGGAGATGGAGATGGAGATGCAGAGGAGATGGAGATGGAGATGCAGAGGAGATGCAGAGGAGATGGAGATGGAGATGCAGAGGAGATGGAGATGGAGATGCAGAGGAGATGGAGATGGAGATGCAGAGGAGATGCAGAGGAGATGGAGATGGAGATGCAGAGGAGATGCAGAGGAGATGGAGATGGAGATGCAGAGGAGATGCAGAGGAGATGGAGATGGAGATGCAGAGGAGATGGAGATGGAGATGCAGAGGAGATGCAGAGGAGATGCAGAGGAGATGCAGAGGAGATGGAGATGGAGATGCAGAGGAGATGCAGAGGAGATGGAGATGGAGATGCAGAGGAGATGGAGATGGAGATGCAGAGGAGATGCAGAGGAGATGGAGATGGAGATGCAGAGGAGATGGAGATGGAGATGCAGAGGAGATGCAGAGGAGATGAAGATGGAGATGCAGAGGAGATGGAGAGGAGATGCAGAGGAGATGCAGAGGAGATGGAGATGGAGATGCAGAGGAGATGGAGATGGAGATGCAGAGGAGATGGAGAGGAGATGCAGAGGAGATGCAGAGGAGATGGAGATGGAGATGCAGAGGAGATGCAGAGGAGATGGAGATGGAGATGCAGAGGAGATGGAGATGCAGAGGAGATGGAGATGGAGATGCAGAGGAGATGCAGAGGAGATGGAGATGGAGATGCAGAGGAGATGCAGAGGAGATGGAGATGGAGATGCAGAGGAGATGGAGATGCAGAGGAGATGGAGATGGAGATGCAGAGGAGATGCAGAGGAGATGGAGATGGAGATGCAGAGGAGATGCAGAGGAGATGGAGATGGAGATGCAGAGGAGATGGAGAGGAGATGCAGAGGAGATGCAGAGGAGATGGAGATGGAGATGCAGAGGAGATGGAGAGGAGATGCAGAGGAGATGCAGAGGAGATGGAGATGGAGATGCAGAGGAGATGGAGATGGAGATGCAGAGGAGATGAAGATGGAGATGCAGAGGAGATGGAGATGGAGATGCAGAGGAGATGGAGATGGAGATGCAGATGGAGATGGCCCTGAGCCTGAATGCTGGAAGGCCAATGGCTGAGGGAATTCCTGGAGGGACTTCATCAGAGCCAGTCACTCCCCAAGATTCAAGTGCCTTCATAAAAATGTATAAGAGGTCTACATATGTGTTATTTTTTATATAGGCTGTTTTTGATATTTCCATATATTTTACTTTGGGTTGGGTTTTTTGTTGCTCCCAACCGATTCTGATGGTAATATCTGTCTTTTGGAGCCTCATGTCCCAAGAGAACCCCAGACAGTTGTAAGTAGCCTACTTACACCAGAAATTATGACAAATAGTATTATAAAATGTGCTCAATCAAATGCTCATCTTCACAGGATGATGGGGATGAAGAAACAGTTTCTGCTGCCACAGAGAGGCCTTCAGAGGACATGTTAATATTATCTGTCTACACATCAAACAATCTACACATTCAAATTTCTTCACATTATTTATGTAGAGTAGCCTATAGAATCTAAGTTTATTTCTAAGTATAAACGGATATTCATATCTCTCCCCCTGTCCCCAGATTTTCAGTGAATGCCACAGTTTAATTCTGTAGAATGTGTTAAGAACTACATGATGTAACTCTAATCTACTGTATTTTCAGTTGCCAGTTAAGAAGTTAAATTGACTTCATCTTATTAAAAAAATTGGGGAGAAAAAACCCAGCAATGAATAAATGTACCAAAAGAATGAATGAGGTGTTTAAACACCGCTTCCTCTTTAAAAAAGGGGAGGAGACCGAAATAAACTCTGGGTTTACGGAAGTAAACCTGCTCCCGACCAGGTTAGGTTCACAGAGTAAGTTACCATGGTAACTGACTCTGAGTATAAGTTACCTCTCTTTCAGAAACGGGCTTGACTTACCCTGCTTTCTCAGGTTTGACTTACCTCCCATTCTGAAACAGAAAACCCAGAGTTTCCCTCATTTCAGGGTTAACATACTCAGAGTTTTCACTTAACCTCCTTTCTGAAACAGGCCCCAGTACTGCATTTATCTACTTTAATTGTCTCAGTGGTGATGCTCAAACACATTGCAATCACCAGTTAGCATGTCCAAATTGTTTGCTTCCCTCATTCATTACACCTGACGTCTCTTGCTCTCTGGTATACCAAATTAAACCCATACTCCACCCAGTGTTTCCCAGTGGAACTACAACAGACATAGAGAATAATGGCTCCAACATTAGCCTAGAAATCTAGACGCACCCTAGCGGCAGCGAAAATTATTTAACAAAAAATAAATATATAAAAAAATATATAACATCTTGATGTAGGTCTGGCGTGCCAGGCTAAGTCAACATCTGATAATGATACAACTCTAAATGTATTGTTTTTCCATGGTCGACTCGTTTTGGTGATCTGTGCAGCAAGCCACTCTGCAGGCCATTAATTGCATCTGATTGATTGGTCATTTGCAGCACGTAGTAGAATCTTTTGATCGCTTCTCTGTCATCGGGGTTATGGTCTGAGTGGAGTGACACGTGACGAGAATCCGCGAGCGTAGTTGGAATTGGCGCGTTGTTTTAAAAAAATCAACGGTCATCTCCAGAATATCGGCTTTGTCGAGTCTAACGAACTGCCGCTCGGGCATCAGTGTATTTTCGTGAAATAACTTTCTCAGATGTACGATATACTGCTGTTGATTCTGTCTTTCCGCATCTTTTCAACAAGGATCTTTCGAAACTGCGTAGGCGTAAGAGGAAAACCGGTAAGTTTTACAGTAAATTTCAAGCGAAAGGTAGAGATAGAGATTTGACGTGAGTACTTTGTGGTTCTCGTGACATAATATGCTCACACGACCTTTCTTTTGACTGACTGGTGTCATTATACAAAGATTTAAAAAGCAAATTGTGTAAAATCATCTTCTATTCATAGGCCTATAGCCTACCCACGAAGTGTAGCGGTTTTCTGTATTTATACCATTATTTATACCTGAGGTAACGGTTATTTCACGCGCTTCGCGTGCTTTCCCACACTGCCAGCCAATCAGAGAGGAGCAGGAGCCGCGAGCTTTAAAATCCAATGTAGACGGTGGTTTAATAGCACGCGAGTTTCCTTCCTCTCCCGCTGTGGGAAAACACTGTCACGGGCCACTAAAAGTGTGCCTGACACTTGCTCAGAAGTACAGTAGTGTTCACAGACCAACAACTCGGTGTGATTCAGACACGCTTCAGACAGAGTCTTTGATCAGTGCTGAGGTGTTGTTGCTCCAATGAAAACGGACTTTCCCAGCCTCAGGTCCCAGTTTATTGCATTGATGTAGGCCTACGTTACAGAGCGTCTCCAAAGAAATGCTGATTGGATGTGTTTTAACAAATGTAATCTGCACGTGCGTGATTTAAATGAAATGTTTCCCTTTCATTTTATCGGAGGTGAAAAAGTTTTGTGAAAAAGGCCCTGCTTTAATTTGATTTAAAGAGAATGTGATAGAAATCAGTGAAATATTCTGATTAAATACCACATCAGTACAGATATTATTAACAGAGACACTATTATTATTATTAACGAATAATGTACAGTGACTTCGATGATGTAAGAATAATTCTTGAGATAATATCAGAATATTACTTAATTTTTTTAGCAACATCTTAGTTTCAGTAAAAATAACATTTTACGATTATATATAAAATATTACAATTTGAAAGTAAAATTATATATTCCCAGCACTGGATTTTGTTAGTTAAAATAATGTTTGCATCAAGTTTAGATAAAAAAAATTAAAGATGCAGTTTAATCACATGCATATTTAGAGCATGAAACTCAATTTAATTTTTGAAAGAGTGATTGACCTATTGATTAATTGAAACCAGATAAGGTAAATTGTAAGTCCTGTGGGATTTGTACAGCCAATGTTTGATTTGATTTGTTGAGGACGCCTCACCCACTGGCCTCAGAGTGTGGGAAAGCTAATCCTGACTGGGACTCATGGCTTTGTAATGCTAATGAGCTCCTATAAATAGAGGAGCACGACCCTCATTCCCAACACAACCAACTTGCTCTCCTCAGAGAAGCATCTCTCCATCTGAAAGAATGGCTCCAACTTACACGAGTGACTACTCCAAACTTTCCAACAAGGAGAAACACAAAGTAAGTATTATTTACCACTTAAAAATCAATTGTTTTTCTTTTATTCTGCTATGAATTTTGATCAAATGAAGCAAAGAGCTAAGCAAATGTCTCTTTCCTCAACAGTTAAGAAAACCTGCAGTGGAAAAGATGCGCAGAGATCGCATCAACAGCTGCATCGAGCAGCTCAAATCCATGCTGGAGAAGGAGTTCCAGCAGCAGGACCCCAACACCAAACTGGAGAAAGCCGATATCCTGGAGATGACGGTGGTCTTCCTGAAACAGCAGCTGCAGAACAAGACTTCAGCTCCACAGAAAGCCCACTTTGACGGCTATTCCCAGTGTTGGAGGGAAACCATGAGCTTCCTATCGGTCAACTCCAAGCCGGACGCTGTACGTCAACATCTGAACCACTGCCAAGAAGCCCAAAGATCAGCTAAAGACCTCATCCACTCGTCTCCAGCTTCCCATCAGCCCACCAAGGTGAAGCAGGAACCATGTGCCCACAGACCGCTCTGGAGACCCTGGTAGAGACTCAAGATCAAAGACTTTCACATGAAAACTAGATGGTGGTTTTACCATCTCTTATGTTGTAGGAGATAATTCCTTTTCTATGTTTTTGGAAGGAAATGGGTTTCACAATGTGAAAGTCTGATCTTCTACAGATGATTGTATTATGATCAGAGGTTTATTGTAACATGCCTCTATAGTTTTCCTCATGGATGGACAGTAATATAAGTATTAATAATCTTCATGATGAAGAGTCGAGGTTTAACTCCTGTGGAGTCGATGACTAAGTAATTATTTGCAATGTTTGGTATGTTTTATCACTGCTTGTAAATGCAAATGTTATTGTTTCTTCTTATGAAGGATGTGATTTTCACTTATTTCTAATATATGGTGAGATATGTTAATTGTGCAAACATACTGTCACATAAAATAAACACTATTTGAATATAAACAATCCTGCTTTCCTCTAATTGATTAATCAAAACAAATCTTTATGCTGCATGTCTGATTAGTAGACTTTTGAAATGTAAACAATGTTTTTTTAACAAACACTCGCGTTGGTTGTCAAGTGGTCTCCTTTTCAGCTAATGGGAGTCCATTTACACTTTGACCTGAATGACAAACTCTTTCAGAGTTCTATCTGGGTATATTTTCCAAAAACGACCCTTACAATAACAATCCCTTATTTTGACTATTAAATGAGTGTAAAACCATGCGTCAGGATTTTGCCAAGTAAGATAAATTTAGTCCTATCCCTATACCCCTAAACTTAACCCTACCCACAAGTTACCCCTAAAATCAGAGGGAAATAGATGAATAACACTGACGTAGAAGGACCTAATCCTGTTTGTAAGCCTAAACTTGACATAAACTGTAAACTTGACTCTCAAATCTGATTGGGGGATTGAAATGTTCATGTTGCACTTGGTTAAATCACGTGACGTAGCAGCCAATATAACTTTAGAAATATCTATATTTGATGATTAGAATGAGGATATCAAATACCCATGCCTTAATGATGTCAACTTTAAAATATGTCCTATGCCCTTTAAGCATTTTTAAAATAAATAGATAATGTAATCTGTGCCTTGTATTAGTTGAGTGTGTACCAAGAGCATGATTATAGAGTTCAGTGTGTGAGAAAGAACGCAGGGGCTTAATGTTGGTGTTTGTACTCTGAAACCCTTGATAATAGGCACTGTGTGCTGTCAGCTCTGGTTTCATCAGACAGCTGGTGTGTGTGTGTGTGTGTGTGTCCCATCATGTGTGGGGCCGGCTTCTCCCAGGATTTCCCACACCCGCGACTCTGGCTCCCGTTTCAGATCCGACATTAAGGAAGTGTGCCGTACTAAATCATCCATTAGGTATGGTGGTGTGAATCCTGACCCTTCCCTTCTATTGCCCCTAATTCAAATCTGAGCCCCCTGGGAAACAGCCATTCACTTGTTGTTTGAATCTACTTGTTGCAAACTTGAAGTGATGTATTGTTACAGGTCATGCAAGTTTTAAAGTTCTTTATACTTCAGAAACTTTATTTTCTACAAGGTGGAAATATGGCTTCGGAACAATTAACATACTAAAAGGAAGACAAACATGAAAAAAATATATAACTAAAAAATACAACAAAATATATAACCATGCAGGTTATAGCTATGAATTTAATATTCCAGCTAAAGTATTTAATTTAAATAAAATCTTTTCGGTGTAAATCTTTTTTTTATTTTTTTTATAAAATGTTATACAAATAAATTGTATCAAATACTATTGTTATGAACTGTTGATGTGATTTACTTGTACATCATTTGATAATTTTTACACTTACATGCAATATTATACTTTATTAGTATGCATGCAATTACATGCAATTTTATACTTTAGTTAAATAAACCGAAGTTCAGAATATAATTATTTGCTGAGATTTGAGGATGCGGCTAGAAGTATTTAAAGTGCTGACACTTTTCTCACCGCATACACTGAAGGTGAGACACATTTTATGGGACTCTAGGGCAAATACAGTAGACGTCAGGATGGCCATGTGCCTCCGCTGAGTTTACAGGAGCGGGAATCCTTTGGTTTCTGAGGGTGTCAGGCAGTGTAATCAGGAGACGGCACACCTCTAGTGAACACACACACACACACAGTGTCTGATAGATCCCCTTTCAGGATCGCCCTCCTCCTCCTCCTCTTGTCCTCTTCAGGTCCAAGCTGCTGATGTTATCAAGTGTTTCAGACAGCCTTGTGATTGGCCCATGAGTGTGGGAAAGCATCAGACGCTTCAGACCCATGAGGACAAAGGATTGTAAATGGAGCACGTCTGTGTGTCATCAGTCCGAACTCCAGCATATAGTGTTTATAGGTGATAAAATCATGTTAGGAGAAAAGAAACCTGCGGTGGGCTACCCTAGAATATTTTAATGACACAAAAATGTTACATTAATACAATATATGTTGAATAAAGAAATGCATCAGTCTCGCATAATTAAAAAAGTTTTAGTCTTTTAAACTCAACATGTGTTTCTGAGGTTGGAGGTCAGCAACTCAAAATGTTGTTACCGAATATGAAACCAATTTGTACTCAATTATTTAATATTTAATCTTACCATACCTCAATGCAGCTATGCAAATGCTTTTTTTTTTATATTTAGAATTTTCTTTTTTCATTTTAATTGTAGTTAAAGTTTAAGCATTTTTTGTTTTTGTCATAATGTTTTTTGTAACGTTTTTTTAGTTTGACTTATTTTAGTATATAAAGTTAAACTTAAATGAAAATGAGAAATGGGTTAGCTAAAATAAAATGTTAATAAGTTTATATTTATATATAAAAAAGTTTATATTTTATTTTAGTTAACATTATTCCTTATTTCAAGTAACAAATATGTTTTTATGGTTTTAGTTAACTCTGAATAATGATAAGCAATGATTTGCATATTTTTGCTATATTATATCTTAAACATGTTCAGGTATTTGCAAACGTACCTACATATATTCAAGTGATAAAAAACATTCAGATGTGAGACTAATTATCATTCTACATGATTATTTAGCTGTGTGCAATACTATAAATATATCTAATGCACTCAAATATTTCTATTACAATTTGCCCAGTGCCCAGTACACTGTTTTTAGCATAATATGGTAAATGTTTATGTGGGAACTTCATTGCCATTTATTTAGGACAATATATATACACATGAATGAAAGAATGAATTCATAGGATTTTTAGTAATTAACTGCTTTTATTAAATGCAATGTTAGACACACAGTGTCTACAATGTTTCAATGCACCCGAGTGCCATCACAAGAACAAATATTGTTTTTCTGTAGCCTTCACAAAAGGCTGTATCAAATGAACGTCCATCAGGACCGTACAAAGAGCTCAGATTCTGAGCAAGATCACTGTTTGCAAGCCAAACAACATTAGAACTGGGGAAAGAAAGCCTTTAGACATACTCAAGGTAAATGTCATGCTAATATAGCAATAATTTGCACAGAAAATCTTATTAAGAATAAAACAATCGAAACTTCAATATGAAGCGATATGACATGTTTGCAAAGAACATAGAAATATGGAAATGTTTATCTCCTACAACATAAGAGATGGTAAAACCACCATCTAGTTTTCATGTGAAAGTCTTTGATCTTGAGTCTCTACCAGGGTCTCCAGAGCGGTCTGTGGGCACATGGTTCCTGCTTCACCTTGGTGGGCTGATGGGAAGCTGGAGACGAGTGGATGAGGTCTTTAGCTGATCTCTGGGCTTCTTGGCAGTGGTTCAGATGTTGACGTACAGCGTCCGGCTTGGAGTTGACCGATAGGAAGCTCATGGTTTCCCTCCAACACTGGGAATAGCCGTCAAAGTGGGCTTTCTGTGGAGCTGAAGTCTTGTTCTGCAGCTGCTGTTTCAGGAAGACCACCGTCATCTCCAGGATATCGGCTTTCTCCAGTTTGGTGTTGGGGTCCTGCTGCTGGAACTCCTTCTCCAGCATGGATTTGAGCTGCTCGATGCAGCTGTTGATGCGATCTCTGCGCATCTTTTCCACTGCAGGTTTTCTTAACTGTTGAGGAAAGAGACATTTGCTTAGCTCTTTGCTTCATTTGATCAAAATTCATAGCAGAATAAAAGAAAAACAATTGATTTTTAAGTGGTAAATAATACTTACTTTGTGTTTCTCCTTGTTGGAAAGTTTGGAGTAGTCACTCGTGTAAGTTGGAGCCATTCTTTCAGATGGAGAGATGCTTCTCTGAGGAGAGCAAGTTGGTTGTGTTGGGAATGAGGGTCGTGCTCCTCTATTTATAGGAGCTCATTAGCATTACAAAGCCATGAGTCCCAGTCAGGATTAGCTTTCCCACACTCTGAGGCCAGTGGGTGAGGCGTCCTCAACAATAGAAGAGGCATCAATTATTTCATGGTTAACTGGCCTCAGGGCTCCCACAGAGGGAATAGTCTTCCACACACCGAACACAACACAGGCAGGTTGCTGTACTTTTATTACCTGGGAACATCGCCGCTCACTGATAAGGCTTCTGCAGATGGGGACTGTAGACATATGATAATTTCCCAGGGGATGCTAAGGACATATAGATAAGACGTTGCACACCTTATCGGGCAAAGACAGATACGGCTGGCTGAATGAAAAATGATGTAGATTAGGTGCAATAACAAAATTACACTTATACTACCATTTCAGTTTTTCTACTTCAAAAATATAAATACATGCACATTTATATACATATGCACACAAGTGAATTAAAAGAAAATATTATTTTGTGATGGCTCCAACAAACTTCTTCAATCTTCACACACTGACCGGAATGCATTCACTGTGAATGTCAATTAAGCGCAATTATCCCGTGCTCTCAAGGATGGCACACTTCTATTGTTCCAGGCCCCCCCTCCCGCCCTGAGAGAATTTTGGGTAATAAATGGACAGATAGTGTGGGAAACCCAGGCTGGCTCCTGCTCACACGTTCTGGAGTCAATAGCTGGAGCCCCTCCTCTGTCCCTCCACAAACACCCTTTGAACTGCTGTTCAGATCAGAGGCTGCGGGACGCGTGTGTGTTCTCACCGGCCTCGGCTCGCATCACCTGCTCATACTCGCCCTCCCGCACACGTCCCATCATCCATGAGCATGTGCAGAAACATCTGCAGCAGAGGTGCAGCCCTGACAGTGATAGTTTGAATGTGGAATTACTTAAAAAAAAAAAAAAAAAACTGGAACATTACCATAATAAAACCCAAATGATTTTTGATATTAATCTTTATTTTTTGCATTGCAAAAATAATGATAATAAAAATCATAAAAATTCTTATATATATATTAGGGCTGTCAAATCGATTAATCACATCTAACATAAAAGTTTGTTTATGTGTGTATATATATATATATATATATATATATATTAAAAATATATTATATGTGTATGTGTGTATATTTATTCAATTGTATCATTGCAGTTTATTACTTTATCAATATATATATATATATATACTTGTATGTTAGATGTGATTAATTGTGATTAAATCGATTTCACAGCACTAATTTATATATATATATATACAGTATATATATAAAGTAATAAACTGCAATGATACAATTTAATAGAAATATGAAATAAAAGCTATTTGGAAAAAAGATTTATTTCTTTTTAGAATTATTGTGAAGCAAAGGGAATAATACAATTAAATGAAAAATAAAAAAAAATATTTAATTAAATGAATAAAATACAATGATAAATGTAATAAAAATAAAATACAATAAAAAAAAACTAAAAGTCTGCTCTACTTTTGTAAATAATACTAAAATAAATCGCTCTTACCACAGAGGTACTGCTGAATTTATAGTATCTTTAATTTCATATTTTGCTTAATCTTAAAATTGAATTTAACTTTTTATTGATTACACTATTTTAAGGTGTCTTTGTTACACTGTAATACGTTTAAGTACTGAGCATGTAATTATGAATAATTAATAGTTATTACTAACTACATGTATGACACAGTAAAATAAAGTGTTACCTTTTTATTTTATTTTACTCATTTTGGACCAATACACAAATATTTTCTCTACACTCAAATCATCAACAATATCAATGGACACCATATGCCAGATGTTTTTTTTTTTTTTTTTTTGGAGGGAAACTTTCTGTTTTCTTCAGCTTCTTAGACTCACATTTCTCAACAGTGACTCATCCTGACAGATGACACTGATAGTTTAAAGAATGACTAGCCTTCATTCCACCATAGACCCTCTCATCATTCAGAGGAATAAAGGCCCTGGTGCCATAATAAGACACAAACAGTGTCACACACAAACAGTCGTTGTGTCCAGCTGCAGGGCCGATGCAGGTCTCTCAGTGAGGAATGTGTGAGAGCTGTGGTGTGTGTCTGCTTCCCACACTTCAGTCCCATTGAGCGAGCCACCCCACCCTGCCACTGATCCAGCGTGCCTCATTATTCCCTCTCTCAATAGACCATCTGGTCCTCTGCTTGCACACACAAAGCCTCTCGCTCTCCCACACACACCTCAAAGCTGCAGGTATACGCGCTCCTGAGGAGAGATTGATCTGCGCACAATCCCACGACCACAAACAAACATGGAAGCGTGTGTGCACAACACGTTTCTGCATGTCGCAGCATATTTATACATGCAAATGGACATTCACTGTAAGCCTCTCATACGCAACAGGTTGCAATTCATATGCAGAAAAACTACAGATGTTTTCGAGATGGATAGATAGAAAGATAGATGGATGGATGGATAGATGGATTTGTTTTGCATGCCACAGTATATTATTTCTACCTCCAAATAGACATTCACTGTAAACCTCTCAAGCACAACAGGTTGCAATGCATTAAAAACAACAATTTAGATTTAATACAGATTAATATATATATATATATATATATATAAAATAAAAATTCATTCAGTTTATTCAAAACTGTTCAAATGATTTATTTTTAATACAAAAAAGAATATATTATTTTAATATATTTTAAATTTATTTAAATTTATTTTCAATCATTAAATAAAGTAAAAATTCATTATATCTATTTTTTTTACATTTATATTTAAAATAAATAAATAATTTGAATAGTGTCTTGCTATGCCAAAGGACAATTCACAATTCAACAACTTCCCTATGTCGTTCTCCAAATCTTTCCTTTTTTCACCTCTTTTTTAGTTGTTGTTTTGTTTTAATGACCACAAACACCCTGGCAAGACTTCAGGGGTTTCAATGGGGCAGAAGGTATTGGACAATGTCACAGTTTCCCGCTCTAACTGCATCTTTTCATGCGTTTGTGCTGTGAATGCCAGAGCATGTGATGCTGGAATGCCTCTCACATCATGACCCGAATTCCTCTCCGGCGAGGGGAGGTCAGGGGCTTCCCAGGTCCCCGTTTTTATGAAGAGAGGGACACTTCACACTGGGCACACAGCGCTGAGCATCTGCTTCCCTCACTGTGTGTGAGTGTGTGTGTGTGTGTGAGAATGAGAAGAGTGCTGGACAAGGGGGCGCCCACATTCAAAGACCCTTTTGCAGAGTGGGATGGAATGTATTGTGGCTTTACCAGTCATTTTTGGCGGGAGATGGGAACTGGTGTGGGAACGGAATTTGGGGTTAACTAAACCACAGCACCCCCTGATAGACAGAGAACAAGAGATGCACTTGTTCACAGATCAGAATAAAGAATATTTTGCTTTTTTTAAAAGTTTGCATTGCAACTCAAATGGAATTGGAACCAAACTCAAATTTTGCAATTTAATTTTTTTTTTTTTTTTTAGTTAATCCGAGTAAAACTTAAGAACCAGCTGATCAAAACACTCCTGTTCATTGATGAATGAATTGCTATCCGTGTGCATTATGTCAACAGATTGCATCTCCAACTAATTGGTTTAAAATAACATTATAGTTACCCGAAGCAATTTACAACTGCATAAGTGAGCCAAGTGAACTGAGCATGAACCTTGCATGTGAAAAGCTGGACAAAACGGCTGTCAGCGCTGGGCTTTGCTGACCACACTTTCCCGCGCACAGGAGCCAGCTGTGCTTTTGAGCTCTTCAAAGTCTAATCCTGGAGCCCGTGTTGTCCCAACTTTCCCACAGCAGCTCTTCAATGGGGCCCAATAGAAGTGTGCCGCACTCCCCCCCGCATTAGTAATGCTCTCTCAATGAGGCGACCAGCCCCCCTGCGGATATATTGAGCAATGATTAACAGAATAATTCATCCCAAAGGGGCACACTTAACTGTCCTAAAACACTTCTTGATCTTAAATAAGCTGATGCCGTAAAATAAATAATATAAATATGCATAGCTGACATTAAGGGATAGTTCACCCAAAAAAGGAAATTTTGTCATCATTTATTCACCCTCAAGTTGTTCCAAACCTGTATGAGTTTCTTTCTTCTGCTGAACACAAAAGAATATATTTTAAATAATGTTGGTAATCAGACAGTTGATGGTAGCCATTGACTTCCATTGTATGGGAGAAAAATTGCCATTTTGCCATTTTTTGAAAAATTGGGTGAACTGTCCCTTTAAGGCACTCACAATATGTACATTGTCAACACAGCATAAAACATGATATACAACACACTAAAACAAATACTTACTGAATGGCTAAACATTTGGTCATTGTTAACCTGTAAAATTATTTGAAATCTGAAAAATAAAACAATATATGTTTAGCCAGCTTTAATATACTTATGTGTAAAATGACATTCCAACACATAGCCTAAAATTAAAACTATCTGTTCTGTTGTTTTGCATATCTTAAGAATAATACATGATAGGCTACTACATCCTGTTACATATCTTTATTGTGTGTGTGTATATATATATATACATACACACACACACACACACACACACACACACACGCATATATATATATATATATATATATATATAGGCTATATATATATATATATATATACTGTATATATACACACACACACACATATATATATATTAGGGCTGGGAAAAAATTAATCGTGATTAATCGCATCCAAAATAAAAGTTTTGTTTACATAAAATATGTGTGTGTAGTGTGTATAATTATTTTGTATATATAAATACACACACATGCATGTATATATTTAAGAAAAATGTGTTATTAATATAAAAATATGTATATTTATATATAATATAAATTATGTATAAATATATATACAGTATATACATGCAAATATTTCTTAAATATATACATGCATATGTGTGTATTTATATATACAAAATAATTATACACACTACACACACATATGTTATGTAAACAAAACTTTTATTTTGGATGCGATTAATTACGATTAATTTTTTCCCAGCCCTAATATATATATATATATATATATATATATATATATATGCGTGTGTGTGTGTGTGTGTGTATGTATATATATATATACACACACACAATAAAGATATGTAACAGGATGTAGTAACCTATCATGTATTATTCTTAAGATATGCAAAACAACAGAACAGATAGTTTTAATTTTAGGCTATGTATATAGGTTATATATATATATATATATATATATATATATATATATATATATACTGTATATATACACACACACACACATATATATATATATATATATATATATATATATGCGTGTGTCTGTGTGTGTATATAACACACACATGCATATATATATATATATATATATATATAACACACACACACACACACACACATATATATATATATATATATAGGCTATATATATATATATATATATATATGTGTGTGTGTGTGTGTGTGTGTATATATATACAGTATATATACATATATAGCCTATATATATACACACACACACACACACACATATATATATATATACACACATACACACACACACACATACATGCTATAATCCTGTATACATACATACATACATATACGTGTGTGTGTTTGTGTTATTTAAGGGTTAAAGATCTATTCATTGTTAGGATTTCAAATAATTGTTCAGGATCTTTTCTGAAGGAGATTTTGAGCGGGAAGCATTTGAAAGTTCTCATAATCTCTATTCACGGCATTGATCATCTACTTTCCCGCCGGAACAGCCAAGCACGCTGTCAAAGGCTCGTGCACTCCGCAATTTCACGCTTTCCATTTACCGCGTGCGCGCACGCACGCACACACACACACACACACACGCTCCAGCTGTTTTGCTCTATTGTTTTGCAGCAAAGGAGGATCAGGCTAATTTAAAGTTTTCCTATTGAACCCTTCAGCTACGCTATGATTGGCTCAAAAGTGTGGGAAACATAAGACACACAGGAGAGGCGCGTATATAACGGGACTGTTTACCAGAAGAAACGCACACACACGACCAAGTGACAGACAGAACACAAACTGCAGCAAGAATGACTCCGAGTGTTTGCAAAGTGACTCAGACTGGCAGTGATAAAACTAAAGTAAGTATTTACCTTTTTAGGAATTAATTTCCATTCCAAATTAATGCTTTTCACAAGAGTGTTTACTTACAATCAGTGGTCTAACCAAACTTTTAACTTTTCCCCCCCAGTTGAGGAAACCAGTGGTGGAGAAGATGCGCAGAGATCGTATCAACAGATGCATTGAACAGCTTAAAGTTCTTCTAAAACCCGAGATAAAAGCCAGCCAGCCCTGTTCTAAACTAGAGAAGGCTGATGTCCTGGAGATGGCTGTCATTTACCTGAAGAACAACACATGGCCACTGACAGCGTCTCCAAACGCAGACACGCATGCGCAGAGCTACGCGGACGGCTTCTCCAGGTGCATAGAGGAGACTGCGCGATTCCTGTCGCTTCACAACCAGCAACCGAACACCAAAACACCTTTAAAGGGACACTTTGACAGAACCCAGCGACCCAAATGTGTCAGTGCGCCTGCGCGTAAACACAGCTGTCAGATGACCGGAGAGCGCGCGCTCTGGAGACCCTGGTGATCTTCATTCATAGCATGCTTGTTATGAAGGATCGAAGAAAACATAGAGAATTTACTGTTTTCTCTATCTAAGTAAAACATTGTTTTTATAAAATGTTGACGTAGGCAGCAGCTGCCATGACGCATAGAATGTACCAGTCTACCCCATGCCTGAATCTGAGAGCACGTGTATCCATCGCTTTACTTCACCCGTGTGGAGATTAACTTCATTTACATATTGTAAAAGAGGGCTGTCACCTCTGTATGTTTCTGCTGAAATAATCTTTTTAATGAGATTTGTAACCGTTAGAGGTGTTAAATCTGTCATATTGACGGAGTGTGTAAAATTGTCTCATGTTGAGTTCGATAGAATAAAATAAACGGAAATTACACATTTTATTTTTATGGGTTTTTTATTATTATTATTTACATTTGTCATAACTTTTTTTTATTTTTTTATTTTTTACCAGATAAACTAAGAAATGCTGGGTTGTTTCAACCCATGTTTGGGTCAAAAACTGGCCAAACCCAACTGTTGGTTTTGATTTTTAAATTAAGTTTTTAAACCCAATGGTTGGGTTTGTCCATATTTGACCCAAACATGGGTTGAAATAACCCAGCATTTTTTAGAGTGTATTTCATAATATAGAAAACATAAATTAATAAATACTAAATGCACTTATTTTCCACTTGAGTTTGTACCCGAGTAGGTTTATTGAATATGAAATGCTTAAAAGTTCACTGACAATGTATGTTAAGAGTCCTGAGGAGCAAATTGCACACACACACCCACACACACATATATATATATATATATATATATATATATATATATATATACAATAAGACAATTATTCAACAAAGCTTAAATAATAAAACATTCTAATGCAAATTACTGCCTGTAATCAGAAATCCGCCATTTTTCAGATTCTGGAAACGGCATGCTTCATTCTCTAGTAGTGTGACAATAATTCACACTTGGGTTTTCCCGTCATAAAGTGCTGAAAGAGGAACTGACTGCATGAGAGAGGAAAGAGACTGCGTTCTCAGGCCCTCACATATAGACCTCTTGATTTTATTGAGTTAAGAAGTGTGTCTCCACAGCCATATCTCCGTAAAGCGCTTGTCTGAAGTGTGTCACACTCCTTTGATGGGAGTCATATAAGAATGTGTTACTGTGGGAGCCAGGGAATAGAGGTGATCCAACACAAATAAAACGCTTGGTTTGCTTGGTAGTTGATTCTAACACAAATAAAGAAAAGCACAGGCACAAACAACTTTTATATAAGCCTAAGTGTAACTTGATGACAAGGAATCATTCCCTCTCTCTCAATGTTTTTGCTTCTTGTGCATTCAGGTCATAAAACACAAAGTGTGAAGAAGTGTGTCTGTAAAGAGGACCTACAATATGCAAAATATGAGTCAAGTACTATAATAGTATATAAATATTACTAAAATAACACTGGCCATTTGGCACCTTTAAATCATATTTTTGTTTGGAAGTCTACACATGATAAATTCTTCATGATTTGTTAGAGGTAAACATCTTCACTCGAGCCTTATTCTGTAAGTTGTGAAAGAGTCATAAGTCTGCGCTCTATAGTGATAAAACACTACTTAAACATTTTAAGGTGTCGGCAGCAAGTCTGAATAGGAAATATAGCAGATAGTATCTGTATTAACGCCCTGAACGTCTTCTAAAGTTTATAATATGCAAAATAACACATATATCCATCATCCACACCATGTGTTTATTGAGGCACAGTAAGTTTTCAGATATTTTGACTAGGTTAATACCTTGCTGGGACGGTCATTTTCACACACCTGAAAACATTCCCTCATATTTGCCTTCACACTTACATGTAAATGATATTAGAATGCTACAGATTTAAACTTATAATTAAAATTTAAAATGGAAGATTGCATCAGTATAAATCTAACAATACAATTACATGATAGAACTCACTGGATATAGCGAATTTTGAAAGAAAATCACACAGTGAAATTATGACAGATGATTCAGTGCATTTCCCAGGTTTGTTTGAATTGAGTATCTCTTCATATTCACAATGCAGTGATGTTTGAAGACACCAGAGGCAGCGAGTTTCTTGAGTACATTCACACTAGCTGGTTTCTGGTGGTTTGCATGTTGAAAGTCTTGTTTAGTTTTGTTCTGACAGTCTAACAGCCCTCTCAACTGCGTTTTCAGCATGATGGGACTATTAAGAAGGGCTTTGATTGCTTTACGAGTCTTGATGGAGGGATTCAGGGTTCAGGGCGGTACGGTCATGATCTCTTAGCCCATGTAGGGATATTTCCATTCTGTAAGTGGCGAGTAGGTCTGCTTGACAACCTGTGGGGACGTCCATCGGAGGACATAGTGTGGGCCACCGGGCTTGTCGTTGGTGCCTGAAAACATTGTCAAAAAGCATGAGATGTGAACTTTATATTTTTTTATATAAAAAAACCTGTTTATTATTTGAGTTACAACTACTTTTCAAGCTGAATTAACCAATACTGATGTAACTCCTTTCTGGTTTCTATATGTACTGTGGAAGGACTTATGTGGAAGCTTGTTTCCACCACAGAATAAAAAATAAAAAAGGTAATTGGGACTTTTTATCTCACAATTCTAACTTTTCTTTCTTGCAAGTCTGAGTTTATATCTCGTAAAGGTCAGAATTGCGAGTTTATATCTCCCAATTCTTAGGAAAAAGTTTCTTATGGAAGCTTGTTTCCGCCACAGAATAAAAAATAAAAAAGGTAATTGCTACTTATTATCTAACAATTCTGATTAAAAATAATAATAATAATTGCAACTGCGAGTTTACATCTCGCAATTCTGACTTTGTAACTTTATAATTGAGTTGTAAACTTGCAATTGTGAGAAAAAGAGAATTTTGAGATAAAAAGTAACAATTATCTTCTTTTTTTTCTGTGGGGGAAACAAGCTCCTGTAGTTATGACATTGAAGTTGAAATTCTGCATATACATTTGCACAGATAAGCGCAGTAAGGGATTTTAATCACAATAGTCTAATGCCAACATGTAAAATGTGTAAGTCTTTCGGCTATAGTTTTTTAAAGAGTGTGTTTTTGATGCTTATTGCCTATGGATTTTAGGTTTTTGATGGAGAACACAATTATTTTGACTTTTAAATGATGCCAATGATTCAGTCTCTAGAGATGAACTTGATTGAATCTGGATCATTCCTTCAGTCGGTCAATGATATTTGGTTTTACCTGATGCTCTGGCGCCACCAAATGGCTGCTGGGCCACAATGGATCCTGTAGATTTGTCATTGATGTAATAGTTTCCAGCAGCATTTCTCAAGACCTTTCCTGCCACATCAATAACAGCCCTAAAATAAGCAATTAGATTATAGACAAGTCTAGTGCAGAGATATGAGTGTCTGGGCATTTTTGTTGAAAAGCTGGGAATGTGCTGATCTGGGTTGCTTAATGGATTTAACTTAATCTAATGACATGGTGCAACACTCACTTGTCTTGGGCAAAGACGGCTCCTGTCAGGGCATACGGAGAAGTATTGTCTATTAAGTGCAGGACCTTCTTGTAGTCAGATTCAGGGTAAACGTAAACTGTGAGGATGGGCCCAAAGATCTCCTGAAAAAGCAAAGAATTAATGTTTTATATTCACTGTTTTTGACTTGCTCTTATATTTCACTTTTCAAACATTACTAGTTTTCCATCAAGTAAATTAAAGACGACCTATTATGTCCATTTTCAAAGTCTTGATTTAGTTTTTGGCCCCTACTAGAATAGGTTTACATGCTTGGATGTTCAAAGACACATTATTTTTTTCCATATTCTCCATTGTTGCAGCTCCTTAAATATGTCAATTAAAGCAAATAATGCTCTCAATATCTAGATCCGGGTGACTGTGGGTGGTAACTGGATTAGCTGAGACCATCCAAGCGTTAAATGAGGTTAAATGGAAGAGATCGTTTTATCTAAACAAACCAAAGTCCATCCATTCACCGTCCTGAGCCTGTGTGTGTGTGCAATCCTGGTCAAAAACCGCTGTGCCTTAAATTGCCTGAAAATGCTAGATTTTTATACCTCGTTCATGATTTTCTCTTGTGCGTCGGTGGTTTCAATGATTGTGGGTTCCACGAAATATCCTTTTTTATCATCACAGTTTCCTCCAGCGATGATCTTCAGATGTGGAGAGGATCTGGCATGTTCCAGATATTTCTTGTTCCTGGAGAAGGACTTGAAAAATACAAGACATTGTGTTTAATACTTTGACAAAAGAAAACGTTAAGCTTTGTCAATGGATAAACAGATGGTTTGTACCTTGTCGTCGATAACTGCTGAGAGGAAAGTGCCGAAATCTTCGACTGGCTGTGAAGTGAAACAACAGAAAAATGTCACATGAACACTTTTGGACTGTAGTGAGCAGCCATTAAAACATACAACCATGATCGCCAGTAATAGACGAACTCAAACTCTTCTACTTACGTCTCCCATTTTGATCAGTTTGTGCACATCCAGGAGTCCCTGTTTGATCTGAGGCCACAGTGAGTCTGGCACGTACATCCTGGAGCAGGCCGAACACTTCTGCCCTCCGTACTCAAACGCTGAGCGGATGGTGCCGGTCACCACACTGTTAACGTCTGCGGACTTGTGCACAAAGTGGAAGTTCTTGCCACCGCATTCTAAAACACACATGAGAAATTAAAAAAAATATTCCGATTTTACAATTTTAAATCTTACGCATCATTCGAATTGAATTCTCAATGCAACGGAAAACACAAACCTCCAGCGACACGAGGGAAATTCCTGTAGATATCCAGATTCTGGGCGACCTGCTTCCACAACCGTTTAAAGGTTCTGGAGATGATACAGGAAAGTCAGATTGGAACGATATAAAAATCAGGAAATTTTTACGTCTACGTCTGGAAAAATCTTACACGTCTTAAAGGGTTTTCTATAGCAAGTCCTATTTGTGTTGTCAAGTTCATTACACAACTGTTCAAAAGTAAATAGAGTAATGTTATTCTGCAAGATGGATTAAATTGATCAAAAATGACAGTAAAGACATTTATAATGTTGCAAAAGATTTTTCTTTTAAATAAATGCTGTTTTTTTAACTTTCTATTCATCAAAGAATCCTTAAATATATATATATATATATATATATATACACTACCGTTCAAAAGTTTGGGGTCAGTGAGAATTTTATTTTTATTTTTTGGAGGAAAGAAATCAATACTTTTATTTATCAAGGACAGTAAAGACATTTATAATGTTACAAAAGATTCTATTTCAAACAAATGCTGTTCTTTTGAACTTCCTATTCATCAAAGAATCCTAAAAAAAAAAAAAAAAAAACTGTACAACTGACAGACCAATAACTGTTTCAACATTGATAATAATAATAAATGTTTCTTGAGCATCAAATCCTCATATTATACTGATTTGTGAAGGATCATTTGACACTGAATACACTGACACTGGTGATGCTGAAAATTCAGCTTTGATCACAGGAATAAATTACACTTTACTATATATTCACACAGAAAACAGCTGATTTACACTGGAAAAATATTTAATACTATAACTGATTTTTGTTGTATTTTTAATCAAATAAGCGCAGCCATGGTTAGCAGAAGAGAATTCTTTTAAAAGTATTTAAAATCGTACCGACCCCAAACTTTTGAACGGTAGTGTATATATATCATGGTTTCCATAAAAATACAACTGTTTTCAACATTGATAATAATAAGAAATGCTCCTTGAGCATCAAATCATCATATTAGAGTGATTTCTGAAGGATCATGTGACACTGAAGACTAGTGTCATGATGCTGAAAATTACAGCTTTGTTCACAGGATTAAATTACATTTGAAAACATATTCAAATAGAAAAGTTATTTTAAATTAAAATAATATTTCACAACATAACAGTTTTTACTGTATTTTTGATTAAATAAATGCAGCTTTGTTGAGCAGGAAAACGTTAAAATCTTACAAAAACTTTTGAACAGTTTTTAAGTTAAAATCCTACAGATTTTAGGTTTCAACCATGCAAAAAACACCCCAGGGCTTTAAACTTTCCCTTTGCACTGCAACACCTGCAGTCTGACAAAATTTAACCCAGACAGAATGTTCCACTAAAGATAAGAGTATGTACTGTATGACCGAGTCAACCAGGATAGAAAGAGACGTACGGGACACTGCCAGTGAAGTTAATGCCAGCCAGGTGCTCAGAGGACGTGATGGCGTCTCCAAACACTGGGCCGTCAGCTGGGACAAACTGGATGATATTGGGTGGCAATCCAGACTCTCTCAGGATCTTATAGACGGCGTAGCTGGCGGACATGGCCGTGTCACTGGGTTTCCACAACACCACGTTACCCTGAACGCAGATTTGTGACGAAGTCAGTGTTAGAAATGAACCAAAACGCTCAGTGCAAATTGATTCATTTTCTGTAATATTATCAATTTGACTGCACTGACACCATCAGATGAGAACAAAACTGGATAATGACAGTAATGTCTTCTGCAGAGCTGCTTATAGCAGAATCGAACTTGTTTCATTGAACTGAACTGAAACCAAACTGAGCTGAATATACTATTGTCTTTTTAGAGCTGCTTTACAGCTCAAATTGCATTTGTTTCATAATCAAAGTATTTTGCAACATTAACACTACTATTTTCCTGTTTGTCCTGCTTTGAAACAATCTGTATTGTATAAAGCGCTATATAAATAATCTTGACAACATCTAACCATGATGGCAGGGGTGCCGGCAAGGTTTCCACCAATCGCTGTGAAGTTGAATGGTGCAACAGCAGCTACAAATCCCTGAAACAAGCCAAATTCAAGTCAATACCCAATCGCAAATAAATCCGTTACGCAATTATCTGACTATTTAGGAAAGGCCACAGTAGGGAGCTCACCTCCAATCCGCGGTACAGCATTGTGTTGGTACTTCCATCGCTGTCCAACGGCTGCTGGTGTTCCAGCTCGATCGCATGTTTGGCATTGAACCTGAAGAAGTCAATGAGTTCTGCAGCAGCGTCGATCTCAGCCTGGACCACAGTCTTACCCTGAGACACGGAGCAGAGGACATCAGGAACGGATTCTCCAAGATTAATGGGAAGCCAGCAAACATAATCCCATGTGTAACAGACTGGTGAACGTGATTTCACCAAGTACCACATGTTCCTGGATCAACATCTTTGTTGAACTTTCCAATCAACCAATTAGATTTGAGGGACAAGTTTACAGTTTATGTCAAGTTTAGGCTTAGAACCAGGGCGAAGTACTTAAACATCAGTGTTATTCACCTTATTTTATCAGGCTCCTCCCCTTTTGGGCATCATTATATTTCATAATTTATGATCAAAACCTTTTCTAATCTTGACAAAACACATATTGTCAGAAAGGTCTGAGTCTCAAGGTTCCAGATTTTGTGACAGAATTGATATTTGGACAGAAATTGTCTTAATTTGTTAAGGCAGAATGTATACAACTAAATTCAATGGAATGTATGTCACTCGGTGGCTATTTTTGGTACTACGCCTAAACAAAATCTCATGGGAATTTTTGTGATATCAACTTCAAATTTGGAACATAACTTGGTTAGATATATGGCTTTGATTTTATAGTATTTTTAGAGTAAAAAATATTTTGTAAAATATATATTTTATATAAAATAAAAAATATATAGTACAGTATATTTGATTTACTGTAAATTTAAACTTCCATAACTTTGTCATACTTTCATTTTTTGAAGTGTTTTCACTTCAGCAATAATCTGCTGAGTGTTTCCTTTAAAGCAAGACCAAACAGGTATATATTCCAAAGCATTCTTGAATTACAATCATTTAAGTTTGAATAGTGCATTTTAACCCCCATTCTCAAAAAGGGGGGTGACAGCTAAGGGGTTAACACATAAGTGCTATTCACCTTTCATTACCCTCTGATTTTAGGGAAAAGTTATGGGTAGGGTTAGGTTTAGGGGTAGGGATTGGGTAAGGACTACATTTTGGGACAGGAATGTTGATCCAGGAACAACAAAATATGTTGATCCAGGACCATGTCTTACTTGGCAAAATCACGGTCACCGTAACGGACGAGTTAACATCAGACAACTCGTGATGAAGCAGCAACAGCCTCCAAATGTGCCAAGCTCTCAGATGTTTGTGAAGACGCACCTGTCCGATCATGGTCTTGGCCAGAACGTCTGCTCTCTCGGGTCCACTGATGACGTCAGCAGCTTTGAAGAAGATCTGGGCTCGATCTGCAACCGGTTTCAGATCCCATTCCCTCCGAGCAGCTACTGAGGCCTCAATGGCTTTATTTATCAGCTCCTATACACACAAACCAGACCAAATGATGATGCAAAATAAAACCTTTGAAATGGTTTCATTATACTGAGGTGTTCAATAAAATCTCTCATATTTTGATGTTATAATTTACACTAAAAACATACTGTACCTTATCAGCGTAGCAGAACTTGGACACTTTTTGAGAGTGGTTGAAGGGCTATGAAGAAAAAAGGAACTAATTATTTAAAAAATCACTAACTAAACTAATATCACACTGAACATGATTTAATAGAACATTAACTCAATCTATGTATATCAACATCAATGTAACATAATTATTTAAATTGTGAGGTAAAAACTGGCCTGTGATTGTATAGTGGCAGAGAGAAATAAATATAATAATAACACAACACAATAATAATAAATGGATTTTAAATATTGACTTAAATTGAAATGATTTTATTTCAAGTGCAACAGAAAAATATAATAATAATGATAATAATTGGACCTTAAATGTTCATTTAAATGTATGTTGTGCATGGCACAATATTAATAATAAACATAATATTTCATGCTGTGATGAACTCCAGAGGTACCGACGACTATTTCACTGTAAAAGAGCTCCAGATTACATGTTCAAACAGAAACCAGAGGAATGATTAACTCACAGACAGCTGGTATCTGATATCTTTGGTCCACACTTCTTCATTTCCAATCACACATGGAATCTCTTCTGTCTTTCCCTTCAGGTTTTGTAACGCCTGATGATCAAAGTAAAACAGAGACGGTCAATCAGATACGCAGCTTCAGTGTATCAGGACATCCGAGTCAGCGTGTGTGTGTGTGTTTCACCTTCTCCAGTTCTGATCTCTCTTTACTGCCTTCTTTAAACCCGAGCACGGGCTCATTCTTCACCTCCACAGCTGCACACGAGAAGGTCTTGAACCTGCAGAGAAACAAGCTTGCTGTTACCGAGTCTTCAATATTTCTCAAAGAATCCGTGGGCTTTTTCTTTAGTCTCGTTTAGTCACGCAAAACACAAGCCTCTCAATCAGTAACTCATATAAAGTCATCTAGACAGAATGGCTTCAGGAATAACTTGTTGTAAATCCATAACAGGAGATAATTGGGTCACTTTAGTTTTTAATGCATCCAGCTGAAAGACAGCTGCTTATTTATTAAAATAAAAAATATTTAAATAATATCACTATGTTAAAAACGTATTAAAAAACTCGTTGAAATAAACCAAAAAATAATTTATAAGTATATAGTTCCAGTCAAAATTTGCAAACATTAATATATTTTTAATGTTTTTGAAAGAAGTCTCTTATGCTCATCAAGGCTGCATTTATTTGAGTAAAAACAGTAATATTGTGAAATATTATTACAATTTAAAATAATGGTTTTCTATTTTTCTATTATTTAAAATATAATTGATTTCTGTGATGCAAAGCTGAATTTTCAGCACCATTACTCCAGTCTTCAGTGTCACATGATCCTTCAGAAATCATTTCTCTAATCTAATTCTATTTATATAATAATCATTCGAAACAGTTGTGCTGCTTAATATTTTTTTTATAACCTGTGAATATTTCTTTGATTAAATTTCTTTATTCTTTGATGAATAAAAAGTTAAAAAAGAACCGCATTCTTTAAATAGAAATCTTTTGTAACAATATACACTACCGTTCAAAAGTTTGGGGTCAGTAATTTTCTTTCTTTCTTTAAAAAAAAGAAAGAAATTAATACTTTTATTCAGCAAGGATGTTAAATTGATAAAAGTGATAGTAAAGAAATGGTTCAATGTTGCAATGTTTCCTTTGTACAGTCTTTCAGTATGTGTATTATGCTTATGAATAGCTTGAGCTACAGTAAAAACAATGAGATGCACTTGTGTAAATAGATCTCAGCAAGCTAACAGTGGGAGGGAGGACAAGTTTCTTGAGCCATTACATAACACCGTCTGCCTGCCTAATAGCACGTAAAACGCAAACTTACAGCGCTTACACACATCACATGATAATGCACAAGCATACGATTGTTATTTTTCAATGCACAAGATGACACATGTCAAATAGGCATCAGAAGACTCTCTCAGAGTGAAAGTCATGTGTAAGTCCATGTGCAATCGCATACATACCCCTTCCAAGACTGACAGATGACAGATCTCACTCGTAGCATGTTTAATCTGGACGTACAGGGGACGGAGAGATTTCATATATATGTATTACAACAAAAAAAAAACTATATGTATCCTCCTGCTGAGGATCTATAGCTCTAAAATAGTATTATAATACTTGTATTCTCCAAGATCACAGACGACATCACATGAATGGAGGAGAACTACCACTTCCGGGATAGGGGGGGATTTCATGACAGGCGAAATAAGTTGAGCTGTTACATTTCATAACAACATTTTTCTCATAAAAATAGACACTAGTGATTAACTGTTTATTTAAAATGGCAAAGGTACGTTTACTGGCTCATTATAAACAAATATATAATAAATTAAAGTTAAGCGGCGCCCCTGTTGTTCATAAATGGGACAGTCAAGAGGGCGAGTTTCTCACTGGCCAATCAGCTTTCGAGACGTTCTGCTCCCAGTAAAACATAAGAGTCGTTTTTCATACAGTGTACGTGTATCTATTTATAAAATATTAAAATGTTATGCCCATTTGCCAATATTATTTTTCCGCAGTCAAAATTAGGAGTTTAATCAGTACAGCACTAAATGTGTAAAGTGTTGGTGTTAAACACATTTTTTAAATATCAATTCTAGCTTAACCGTACGCACCCACATACATCCTTAAATAATGTTTACGTTTGTGGAGGAGAAACCGTCTGTGCGAAAATTATTATATATATAAATTAGTGCTGGGCAATGATTAATCACGATCAGAGATCACGATTAATCGAATCCAAAATAAAAGTTTGTGTTTACATTATATGTGTGTGTACTGTGTATAATTATTTTGTGTATATAAATACACACATATGCATGTATATATTCAAGAAATATTTGCATGTATATACTGTATATATATTTATACATAATTTATATTATATATAACTATAAATATTTTATACTGTATATAAATAATACATTTTTCTTAAATATATAGGCTACATGCATGCACACACTAACATGCATGTGAGTGTATTTATATATACAAAATAATAATACACAGTACACACACATATATTATGTAAACACAAACTTTTATTTTGGATGCGATTACTCGTGATTAATCATTGCCCAGCACAATTTATAATCTTTCTATAGGCCTATTTCTATTACTCTACTAGGCCTATATTGCATTATTTGAATTTTGTTTTCTTATAATATTATTATTGATTTCATCTTTGTGTATGTCTGCACTATGTCTGTCCTTTCCCATGCACTGGAAGCTCCTGTCACCAAGACAAATTCCTTGTGTGTGTAAACATGGGCCATACTTGCCAATAAAGCTCTTTCTGGTTTTACAGATAAACGAAAAAAAAAAAAAAACTGAGCACTTCTATTTTTGAACTCTATAGAGATTGAGACAACCCTGGTTTGTATGACCATGGACTATTTTTTTTTATTTGACATGTTTTTAATATAATGAATATTATATGCCCCTGCCCAGGGACAGCAGATGAAATTTAGCGTTGTAGCTAATTCTGGGGCAGTTTTTTTTTACTGTCCATTGTCCCTGTCAAATAAAGAATAAAATAAAATAAGGTAAAATCCGTATTTTTATAACAATGTAACTGGTTGCCATTTCATTAGTTTGTACAATTTCTTTGCCATTGCATTAACTCATAAGACAATAGATTTCCAGTAGGATAAATCAATCCTCATCTGCCCTCCGCTGACAGACCTTTACACTGAGGAAACCTGATGCTGTGTGCATCCTTCCCTTGCGTTTTGTAACAAATCTTTTCTTCGCGGGTCAAAATGACCCGAAGTCCTAAAATTATACGTATTTTTTTTTTTTCAGAAAGTTTATTTGATTTAATTTTGATCGTATTTTTTTCTATTTGTAATAAAACATTTTTGGGAGATTTTTTTTAAATTAATTTACCTTTAAATTACTAGATAAATCAATAAATAATAAATAAAAAGTAATTTAAGCACATTCCACACATTCTTTCAATTCCGCTCGGTAGCCTTGTCATGACGTCACAGATACAGCGATGCGAAATGCGTCACAGCGTCAACCGCTATAAAGAGCTCGAGTAAATGCACTCAGGTGTAGAGTCTAATTGGGCTTAAGCCCCGAATGTTTTGTCAAAAGCCCCGAATCTTTTAGTTTTTTTTTTTAAATAACTTCAACTTCAACTATTGCCGTGCGTGTGGTGGCGGACCGACGGTAGGCCTATGCATTGCATCGCGCATCACTCAGCTTGTTTGCCAACTGCCAATAAAAACTAACGAAGAAGAATATAAATCTTCGTCGTCGTTGTCATCAGGGGCTTACTGCTGGCGGGTTGTTGTATGTTTCACCGGCGTCGTAGCGAGCTTACTAGCTCAGCCACGGCACATGTTTGCAGTCAGTTGCCTACTGGAAATTGTCACATAAAATTTGATGAAAGTGATGCTTTTGAAAAAATATTTCTGACAATAAATGAAAGATTTTTAAAATCGCATGTCACGGCCGTATTCTTGTGCATGCGCATGTGGTGACACGGATAAATGTACGCAGCAATAATGAATGTTCCTGGGAGATCCGTAACGTTAGTTGCACGGGATGTGGAAGTGCGCAAAAGTTCCAGAAATGTACAAAAAGTGCCCTAGCCTTGAATGTCAAGGTAAGGAAAATAAGACTAAATCAAAATTAAATAACCAAGACTAGCTTGTCCTTGTGATTTTTCTAAGGAGATGTTTTGAGCATTTTACTTCAGACACCGGATTATCAGCAAACTGCCAAGAGAACGGCTAGCTGGCTACTCAAAATAAACTAGCAATCTATTCAGGCAGCATATTTGTGTTTGATCTGTGTGCATTACAGAAATATAAGACTTGCTAGACCAAGACTCGCAGAGTAGGCTGTGTGTGTGTGTGTGTGTGTGTGTGTGTATGTGTGTCTCTTGACTGATTAACAGTATTGTAAATGCTAAATGTCCTAATACCTGTTGATACTACAAAAATGCAAAGTATATATATGCTCTTATACTTAGTTTTCCACATATCATGTAGTACTCAATTTATCCATTTCTTTGCACAAAACTCTCCAGAAAGTGCCATTTAATGGTTTATTTGTCAAAAAAAATTCCCGGGGGGGCATACCCCCGTACCCCCCTAGGGAGAGCACCCCCACATAATAAATCCATAGGCGGAGTTTGACATTCGAGCCAGGGGGGGCAAAAAAACAAAAACATTGTAGCATTCATTCATTCATGTAGTAATCATTAGGCGCGTTTCCATTACAGATTTGCGCAAAACCTTTGCGACTTTTTCTAAATGTCGATAAAAAAAACTATTGCGAAATGACGGCGTTTCCATTAATTCACCGATGTTATGCGACTAAAATGTATTTTTTTCCTCTCGCGATAAGTCATTCCAAAAATCATGGTAAACGGATGTTGGTAGGTTTAAAGCCTAGGCTATATCACAGCCACCGCACTAGACATTATTATTATTAATGGAAGGAGACGTGGTGTTATCCAAGCATTAATGGCAGACCCTTATACTGCGAACGGCACATATAGCCTAAGAGTTCCTGGCTGTTTCTCCCTCATTTCTGCTCCGAGGTCTTGATTGTGGCATTTCTTTGCGGTTTAGAATCCAGTATTCCTGTAATTATTGTTTCTTTTATGAATTTAATAAAGAACTCTGTCTCGTATTATGTCCAAACGGTCAGTGTACTTTTGTGTCCATTCGTTTTTCCTAATTTAACCCGTAATTGCAAAACGAAAAATAAACGGTTGTATTTTTAAAACGCAAAGTCGAACACCAAAATTTTAATTTGAACTGCTACACACCAAATGCTGCGCAAAACAAATAATATGGACGAATTTTCAGATTTTTGTTTATGACTTTTTGCCCCTTTATTAAACATTTAAAATATTGACAAATTAATATGAAAAAGAAAATGTAGATTCAACTGGTTTTCTAAGGCCAAATAAGAACCTGGAAATTATATTTTTCCCGTAGTGCTGAATGAGAAGATAACCACAGGCTACAGAAAGGGGATTTATAGGTGAGTTATAGGCTATAATAATTAATAAATGTGTCTGAAAAAATAACAAGGCATTTTAATTGTTTATTAATAAAAAATCAGTGTCGGCTAAAACATATCTCCATCTCCGCTGTAAGGATGCACCTTTAGAGAGAAATGCACCTCTCATACGGATTACATAATCAGAAGGTATTAGCTTTCGATTCGAATTTGTTCGTTTTAAAGTGGACATTTCAAGCTTTAGCTTAGGCTATTTTGTTTCAGTTCTAGCGCTTCAGTTCACGGAGACCATGAAGCGCGCCTGATTGTTTTATTTTATTTTACAAAAGCACAACGTTTTCTTGTTATTGTGAGTGTACACAAATAAAAGTAGTTGCGAATAATGTATTATTATTTTTTGTATGACCAGAAATGAGTAGGCTAGCCTATTTTAAGTTGTTTCCACTGTTGATAGGAAAATGCAAGTGTTCGCGCCCGCGCCTCCGTGCCATCCAGTGCGCGCTCCACATTCCGCACACACACTTGGATATGCGTCAAAATCTTGTTTAGCCTATTTGTGATCATCTTAGCCCTGTATTATGAATGATATGTGACGAATTGCTTTGTTCCTTTTTTTTTGAAAAGCGTCTTCTACATATGTAGCCTAATAAATGTTATAATAATGATGATAATTATTATTATTATCCCCGCGTCTTCTCCAAGTCACCTGACTGTAAATGCGCAAAACCTGTTTCCATTGCAGTTTTTTTTTTTACTAAAGCAGTATATAAAATCAGATGTGTATTACCTACCACCATTTAGTTGTTTTGTGTTATTTCAAATATTTATAATATATATTTTTTTAACAATGCAAAAATTTTTTTTAAACGGGTTTCAGCCACCAGGGGGGGCAATGCTCCCCCTGCCCCCCCGCAAACTCCGCGCCTGAATAAATCCCAATTTTACCCCTGGATATATGCCTCTGGACCCCCCCTAGTTTGGGCTAAGCCCCTAATGCTTACATCGTCTGGCTCCGCCCCTGGTGTAGACGAGCAGGAGTAAGGTAAGTCACAATTAAAGTATTTCTGTCTAAGTGCCTATTGGAAAAAACAACTAGGGCTAGTGTGTCACACTTTCCTCAAGTAAATATTTCATCGGGATATTTTTAAAAGTCTTTTTTGGCGCAAGAGATCGCTCAGAGATCGCTCAGTCAGTTCAAGTTAAATTAACCGATCATCTTAGATAAAGCACCAAATAAACATGAACCTACATGCTGAAAGATACCAAAATCAATATAATATCTCATATAATCGATCAATCAGTGCTTCAACCGCGAAAAGACGTCAGTAAAACAGCTTGTAACGTTTATTAAACAACATTTTACCTCAGAAAAGTCATTCAGTGGAAATAACGTTAAACGGTCAGCTTGTAAAATAAACTATAAGTTAGAGGTTTCTAAATTAAACTTTCTATATTCTAAATAAACTTTATAAATTTATGCACTGATTTCTCACATGTATTATATTTTTTACTTGACCTGTTCTTCAATGTTTAATGTAACGTTATGTTTGAATAAATCTGTCATGTAAAAGGTTCCTGTTTATGCCAGTTTTTTTTTAAATACACTGTTTTACGTGACAGATTTATCGATTAGATTTCTATTCAACGTTATTTGATTCGATAAATCGATATCGATTCATTTGGATTTTCATTGGATAGCAGCTTCTGCTAAATGAATAACGTTAACGTTAAATGTAAATATAGGCTATCAGGTAAGTTACAGTAACTTACTTTACAGGGAACACTCCCAAAAATTAAGAACTGATTTGTATACAAACATTTAAATTGCACTTAAGGCAGTTTTTATAATAAACAAGTTATAACTATGTTATAGTGTTCCCTGTATAGTTCTCGATATCGATTCAAATAGCAAGCTTGTGAATTGAAATCGAAGCGTGAAATGTATCTCAATACCCAGCCCTACTGTTAACTACAGTGAGTGTGTTTTTTCATTCTGAATTATGTTTATTTTCTCTTTAGAAAATGGTTAGCGACATTTTGTGTGACAAAATGCATCGAAAAACCAAAAAGGAGCAGAAGAAAAAGAAGCGTGGCGTGTTTATGTCATCTTCTCCAGATGTGGTGGTCTCAGCCGCTGCACCTGCAGATCATCCCAAATCTTCCTCCTTCTGGAAACGCAAATTCCAACCTGTGTGCCGGGCTTTCCACAGAATACTATCGCTGATTCTGCCGTGTGTGTCCTCCTCTGAGCTGGACGAGTCCACCGAGACTCGCACATCCAGCATCGACACACACACTGATGCTTCTTCCTCACCTGCAGTCAGTGGATCCTCTGATCCAGAGCTTGATCTGCTGCCTGCCATCCAGGAGAAAGAAGCCATCAGAGGTAAGGGAATGCTTTAAAGCTTTTACATGCTTAACACTCATCTATCTTTCCAAGTGTACATTAAAGCTTGAGTGTGCACAATAAAAACTAAATTATTATCTTTTTCTCACAGATGTTGGTTAGCTTTGGTGTGATTCTTAATAAGAAGTGATGTGGACTGTAGTGCTTTTTTATATAACTGCACATTAAAATATCTCTTAAAGACAGTACTATGGTTTGTTCACAGCCGTACCCAAAGAGTCGAGCACCTCCAGCAACAGTGATGGTTCTTCCTCATCTGCAGAACACAAACCATCAGATCTGGAGAACAGTAGAGGTTGTAGCTCTTCCAGCGCTGTGGGTAATTCCTCCTCTGACGAGAGCGTGAGGATTGATCTGCTGGCTGAACTTCAGGGAACAGCGGTTCCTGAAGGTTAGAGAAGTTTATTACAACTGTTACCGTATTATTTAAAGCACTATAATTCATTAGTCTAATGTGTGGTGCATAATAACTCAAACTGCGTTATTTATCTCTTCATCACTGATGCAGCCGGAGATCAAACCGCCTCTGATGTGGATCTTGACTGGTGGGTGAATAAATGTTGTGTGCTGATCTCTATATCAGCACATAATGAATTTATAACCCAGCTATAAATATATATAAAACACAGCTCTTTATATAAAGTTGGATATGTCCAACCTTATCCACATACAGTATACTTGTAAAGCAATATATAGCAAATCTCAACTGCCTGATTTATTGTATCATTGCAAAATATAAACTATATTATCGCCCAGCGCTAATCTGCTAAATGCAACTATAAGCCATTTAGATATTATGATAAATCATGAATTTGTGAAAAGTTGAGTTGTTGATTTAATGCAGACTATAGTTGAAATCAAACGAGCATGGACAAGCAGAATATTAACATATTGCTGATGTTTTCCCAGAGTTCTCGATGTGCTGGCCACTGTGACGGCGCAGTCTAACGGTCTGTCTCAGCCTGAGATACTGCGGCTCATCCAGTGCAGTCCACAGCAGGAGCAGATCGAGGTCGAGCAGCAGAGAGACACGGAGGAGGAGGATGTAAAGCTGGCTGATGTTGTGTCGACAGCATCGCCAGCTAAAATCAAGAACTTGGGGTAAATGTTGGATATGCACAACTAGAACACACATACTCACATATGATGTGCTTTTCACAGACTAAACTGAATGGCTCCTGTCACAGTTTTCCTAATTTAGGGAACACATGCTACATGAACTCCGTGTTGCAGTGCCTCCTCACTGCTTCCCCCTTCCGGGACGATGTCCTATCCCAGCGGGAGCACTGGAATGAGGGGAGCACAATGCTCAGGTCAGTGATATTTTTGTATCATTGGGATATTATTAATTATTTTATTAATTTTTAATTTAAAAGTTTTAGTTATTTTTGTGTGTGATTTTGTCATTTTTATTAGTGTTTATACAGCTAGTTTTTATTTAGTTTGTTATTTTAGTACATTAAGTTAAACTAAATGAAAAGGACTAATATTATTTTATTATTTTAATATTTATTAATTTTATTATTAATAATTATTGCTTTATCATTTAAATATATTAATAATAATTTTATTTTAACCTTTATTTTATTTCAAATAACATTTCTTTTTAATAGTTTATTTTTATTTTTATCATAATAAACCCTGGTTCAGGTATCAACACTGAATTTGTGCAACATTATATTTCAATCTAAATGAAAAATTGCAATTTCCAAGCAGCAATACTAAAGCAGTTCTTTACTATTTTCTCTCCAGGGCGCTTACTGACCTGCAGTTGACCAGGCTAACAGGCAATGATGTGAAGCTAAAGGTGAAGCTCTTGTCTGCAGTCAAGCGAGGCATTGAAACTCACCATCCGGATTTCTGGGGAGACCATCAGCAGGTGAGTGAGGCGATGAACCGGATCTATATGCTCAGATGTATTATTGTTCATGAAATAAGTTAAGATTTAACCTCATTGTCCTTCACTCTTTCTCCTCTCAGGACGCCCATGAGTTCCTGATGGTCTGTCTATCCCATTTGAAGGAGGAGGGTGAGTTTCTGCAGAGCGTCTGGCCTAAATACTAGGCCTGTAGCGGCGCGTCGACGCTTCGACGTCAAAAATTCGTCGACGTCATATTTTTTTGTCGACGCTTCTTTATTTATTTATGTTTTTTTTTTTTTTGCACCGTTCCCGGCGGCACAGCTCGCCACACACACGTGGGAGACCGAAACATTGCAGAATCGAGGACGAAACAGCAACCTCTTCACAGAATTCACAACAAAGCCATGCAAAAGTCCCAACAAAAGAAAAAGTCCTAAAAAAACCCAGCTCGCACTAAATCATCGAAGGTATGGGAATACTTCAAATTTAGTCCCAAACGTAAAGGTGTCGTTATTTGCGCTCTTTGTCAAATGGAGTTGACATCCCAAGTCTCCCGCATAGTGATAGCGGCTCCCTGATGACCGCAAAGTTAAAATCTCCCGGAATCTAGAGCTCGCGAGCTCCAAACCGTGTAGCGTGCGCAGCGAGGGAGAGAGCGAGAGACCTTGCGCGTGTGTGTGCAAATGTGCGTGTGTGCCTTATGAAGCGCATGTAAACCCCACCCCCGTCAACAAAACCGAAAAATCAGTCCGGATGTTTTTTATGAGCACTGAAAACATTAAAATGAGCACCACATCCAAGTGTGATAGGGCTCATTTGAGTAGCCTACCAAACATTTTACAGTGTAGATACTCTGTAAGAACCAGATCAAAATTGTTGTGCATTGAATGTGCACTCTAGTGATGTATGTCTCGAGACCGGTCTCGAGACCACTTGTCTCAGTCTTGTCCAGGGATGGAAATTAACTTTTTTGTCCACCGGCCACTGTGGCTGGTGGATTTCAAAATCTACCAGCCACTCAATGTTTTTACCAGCCACTTTCTTGTTTTTAACCGACAATGTGTAACTGCATGTGAAAATTAATACTACAAGAATACTTAAGCAGTTCATTTAATCTCAAGTCTCAATGAAATACTGACATTTTCTCTTTCTCTCACCCTCGGCCTCATCCACCTAATCTGTCATTTATTTTTGTTTTGATGATAAATTGAGCCAGCCTCCAAAAGTAAATAACCTGTCCTGTGATTTTTTTTTTTCTCTCACACAACACTCTCCAGACACGGATTTATGAGCTATAGTATGTTGGTTGCCTTTACATTAGAATAATATTTAATATAATCTAGATATGAAATGGAATAAATAGCATTCAATACAAAATGAATATGTCTCATATATTGAAATCAAGTTTTATGTGATAAAATATTTGCTTTGTTGTGCATTAGAACCACATCAGGCATTTAGTACAAAATAATTTATTGAAGCATCCAGATACTTCACCACGTGACAGCAGCTAAGCTCCTGATTGGTTAACGCGGCGCGAATTGACGCAAAAGTTCAGATTTTTCAACTCGGGCGGCAGACGCGAATTCGCGTCAAACGCGTGAATGCACAAAAGCACTCAATAAAATCATGCGCGCGGAACGCGTCAGACGCTCGAACTTGCCGCGCGAATGAGGCGTATTCGCATCTACCACGGCGCGCTCTACACCTCATTCGCGCCGTAGGAATTTTTTACGCGCGTAAGGCGTCTTTGCATTGACTAATTAACAATGAAATCACTCGCGCCAGACGCTCTATTCTCGTCTGGTGTGAACGCACCATGATGTTTTCTCTGCAGACCTCTACGCCTGCGATGTAACGCCACATTTTGTTTGAAGGTGTGCGTCCTCTAAAAGTGTCCGCCGTCCGGGTGAAACAGTATGCTATTTTTATTTACCCGCCACGGTGGCCGGTAGGTGAAGCGAGTTTACCCGCCACAACACAAAATCACCCGCATTTGGCTGGTGGCGGGTGCTAATTTCCATCCCTGGTCTTGTCACGGCCTTGACGGTCTTTGGTCTCGGTCTTGTCTTGGTCTCGGACCTCTCGGTCTTGTCTAGGTCTCGTTGTCTCAGACCGACATAGTGGTCGGGGGATTTAGCAATATCAATATCCACGACGATATCCGCAACGGATTGAAGCGCGCGTCCGAGTGAAGACAGTGCGGTGCGCGCAGCGCGAGAAAACCCTGTATCCGCGCCACTGATCGCAGGGCAACGAGCACTTTGATCACTTGATTTAAAAAACACATATCATGTACAGTTTTTGATGTATTAATATTTAGTAAAACACATATCAGTTACATGATGGGTTTTAACTTCATTCAGGAGATTTTGGGTAACTGCACAACTGACAGATGACTTTGAGAGCACCGCCAACGGTGTGTGTGTGTGTGTGTGTAACCATAGCGACAAAACAACCAACTTCCAGATCCTGCACTTAAGCCTATAATTTCGTTTTTTAAAATATAATTATGTATTTAAAAGTTGCAGAATGGATTCATTTGGAGACTTCGAAATCGGCAGAGATAGGCAGGCAATGCAAAACAAAATCTTACAAGTTATTGCTTAGCTTCAACAACACTAGTCTGTTTTTTCCCCCCCCTCCGGTCTCGGTCTTGGTCTCGACTTGGTTTCGGTCTTGGTCTCGACTTGGTCTGTCTTGGTCTTGGTCTTGGTCTTGGTCTTGGTCTTGTCTTGGTCTCGATACCCTCTGGTCTTGGTAGTGTCTTGGTCTCGGTTTAGGCGGTCTTGACTACAAGTCTAGTGCACTCCTGCAATTTCCATGTTACAAAAAAGAATCGTTAGATTAGTCGACTAATCGATAAAATAATCGACAGACTAATCGTTTAATTAATAATCGTTTACCCCAGCCCTACTAAATACACCTGCCCAGTTGCCAACATGGAGTTCAAACTCAACCGCCTGCGCACCTGTGACAGGTATCATCTCACATCCACACCTGCTCTCGTTTAAGACTCTCAGACTTATTTATGTGACGCTGATGTTCTGTCGTTTCAGCTGTGGCTTCCAGAGGAGCTTCAGTGAGGATTGCAACTACCTCTCGCTGGTCATCAGCCCTCAGAGAAGAGTCATAGACAGCCTGCAGCAGTATTTCAAAGTGAGTGACAGCACTGATTATATATCAGCAGGAGGATGTAGTTTCTGATTGGCTGATATCAGTCTTTCTTTTTTTCTCCAGACATCTTCATTTGAATGCTCCTGCAGCGAGTGTGCCGGCACTACAGCCTCAGAGGCCCTGCAATTAATCACCTTTCCACGGTATGAAACTTCGTTAATTAGTCAGTTCCCTGCAGAATAACTCAGAATGCGCTAGTGTATAACTTCTGATCATTTGAATCTCTCTACAGATTGCTGGTTCTTCTGGTCATGCGCTTCGACGTAAGATCCTCAATGTGCAAACTGAAGGGTCGACTGGAAGTTCCAGAAGAGTTTTCACTGTCCTCTAGTACAGGTGTGTGTCAGTTTATCAAACATCTGCCCTCTGCTGGACACTTATGGATCAATCACTCACCTGAATTACTCTAAAAGACAGCGTTAGGAAGACAGTTGCTATGAAAGACAACATTTAAATTGTTTAAGCATGGTACTGAAGAGTTTTCTTATTTTATGCATGATGTTTAACAGAGAGCAGGGAGATGACAGTGATAGACAGCAAGAGGCCAAATCAACAGCGAAAGAGAAGGAAGAAGAATAGGGTTGAGCCTGCAGTACCAAAGGAAAGATAGAGACAGCAATTTATAGATAGATAGATAGATAGATAGATAGATAGATAGATAGATAGATAGATAGATAGATAGATAGATAGATAGATAGATAGATAGAACAAGGAAAATAGAGGATGTTCATAAACATTTGAAATGCAGCACCATCTAATAATACGTGTTTGTGTTCAACAGATGGAAGCATCAGATTGCGGCGGACAGTACAGACTAGCCGGAGTCGTGTCCCATCTGGGCAGCAGTTTATATTGTGGTAAGACTTTCTTCTAAATTTCCAGTCATCTCATTCACTCATTACGCTTCATACTAAATTCCCTCTGTCTTGTAGGGCACTACATCAGTCACATACGGGACTTCAGCGGCTCTGATTGGCTGGAGTGCAGTGACGCGAACATCAGAAAAACCAGCTGGTCAAAGGCATCACACAGCTTTGGGAAGAACGGATACATGCTCTTCTATGTGAAAAGGTAAATAGTAGCACAATACTAGTGCTCAACTAATGTCCTCAGGTAGCATATATTAAGTCACTGTTGTTTTGTAGTTGAGCAGCAGTGGTTTACGCAGTTATGAAGAGAAAGCGAAGCTTAGTGAAGAAGTTCCAGTCTCTAAACTCGTCTAAAAGGCCAGTTTCTGAAGGCTTTCCAGTCAAATGACTGCTGGATTCAGAGACCAGAGTGCTAACCATTACACCATGGAACCTGTCCAGGAAAATCCTGTGAAACGAATGATGGAATCATGAAGCAAAGCAAGACTTTTGGAGATGGTCAAGTGCCCTCTTGTGCCGCCAACCCTTGGTGCATGTGGGTCACCCCAGCCCTTCAAATCGCAGGCAGGGCTCGTCCGGGACCTCTTGCACCCCAAGAGAATCAAATCCCTGACCAACGAGCCACTCCAGGCTTTAGCTACTTTCCATTGCAAATAATTGGCAATACTGTACTTTTTATAGTGAACTTAAATGAAATATTTTATGAAATAATTTAAAAACATCAATTCTATCCTAAATGAGCTCGTTTCATTTAATGAATTGGACTGTTAGGTTTTATAGTGCAGGAAAAGCATTATGTGCTTAAAAATACCTTTGGCACTTAATGAAAAAAAAAATAGTGCAGTGAATTCAGTCAGACAAATCACTGAATAATAAATAAATTATATTTATAATCTTATTTAAGTCTCATTCTCGTCTATTATTTGTTTTTAATGCATTTTACATAAATTGGCAATTTTTTTAAAAACTTTTTTTACTGTTATTATTTTTATGATTATTTTAAATTACTTTTTAAAAGTAAAGCACTTTGAATTACCAATTAAATAAACTTGCCTTGTCAATTTTTTTTAATTATTACAAATACATTTTTGATAAAGGAATTGAATAAAAAAAATAATAATAATACTTTCTCTGCTTCCCTAGTGAGTGTATTATCGAAATGAACACAGTCTACATTCATGGCCATAAACGCTAAACAAATTGTGTTTTGTTAAACTTAATCATTATGAACAAAAGGACCTCAACAAAGCAAGTGAATCAATTGTGTTTATTTTTTGACCCAGCACCAATTACATTCATTATTTTGAAACATACACCAGTTGCTCACACACCAGGAAAACTCATCTGCAGCATAAACAAATGACAAAGAGAAATATTCTAATGTACGTGCACTGATCATTTCAGATGTCAAAGTAATTATAATAAAAAGAAACTTGTATACTATGAGAAGGATGCAGGCCACAGATGTTGCGAAAGCCACTAACTTACAGAAACTGTAAATCTGTTGTATAGCTTTCTGTGAAGCTCGCTGATGCTGGTACGATGACGCTGATGCGCCACTTGCTGATAGGGGTCTACTGAACTGGTGTTTTATGCTCTATTAGAAATTCCATATTAAATCTAAAAGTAATTGTGCAACGTCACTGTATCTGCAGCTTGGCGGACAAAACCCGTCTTCAGAAAAGACCTCATACGGTCAAAGGTATGTAATGTACTGTGATGTAAAATAAGGCTAACGTGACCCAACAGAGCAATAACATCCAGTGTTTTATCTTGTGTCTGATGGACTAAATAACATTTTCTATGAGCTCATCTGATATTCTGTACATTCATTGATAAAGGCATGATGTGATAAGCTAATGCGTTTACCCTTCATAGGAAAAACAGCATAATTGATGTGCAGACAAAACAAAGGCCCGAAACATATTCTATGCAAGTACGTGAATACAAGCGCTACACAAGCTCGATTTTGTGTGTTGTGTACGCTTATGAAAGTTCACACAATATGACCCCGTCATTACAGTTTCACAGAAGTGTCAGCCTGCATATGCTGCCATTTTGTGCTTTTCTTAAAACTAACATGATCACAGCATTACTTTCTCATCCAGTTTCAATTAGAAAGCTCCTTCCGAATACAACATTCAAGTTCAAGCACAAAGATATTTACCAAATCATACCTTTGTTTTGAATACTTACAGAGATGCTTCTCATTTGTCCTTTATAAAGACTATGAACATTGGAATTAAATCAGAAAACACGCAACATGCACTTTTTCCAATTCACCTTGCGATGCTGCCCTTTGCCCATTTCTTTGTTCATAAAACATAAAATAGATTTTAACAAGAGGCATCTGACCCATATTATGAATTCAGATTCAGAAAAGACAAAAAAATAGCTTAGTTTTCACCATAAACAATAAAAATAAAAAATAGACCAACAGTGTTTCAGGTTAAAAAAGGCGAGAACTCGGTGCAGGTTTTATTTTTTTCTAGGGAAAAGCATCCAAATTAGCCCTGGATACCCTGAACAATATAAAAAGGTGAATTTTATACATTTATAAAATTCAAAAGCCAGAATTTACACAAACCAAATTGCAAAATGTACAGATGATTTTATCAAATACGATATCAGGTCTTTAAAATAGCTAATAAAATGAATGAACAAAAACAATGCCCACCAGCTTTTTTACTACAAAATATATATTTTAAAAACCCTCTGCAACCATATAATTACATCTTTGAGCTTATACTTAAATGACTTATAAGTTTAATAAACCCATCAAATTTCCCCATATTTTTAGATTAATATAATTAAAATAATACGCATGAACAATTTTTAACCCAGGAACATACAAGATTAAAATGCAAAATATAAAGAGCCAAAAGACCCCAAGCAAGACAAACAAAGGCAGTTAAACCTCATAGATACCGAAACTTTATAAGCCATATCCATGAAAACAGACGCTGAATCTGTACGGAACAGCGGCCATCGTGAGCGCCAACTTGTCCCATAATCCTTTGCATTTGTAACTATTGAATTTACATATATTTATAGACATGGGTATGATTTCAGATAAACCCAACCGCAGCTAACAAAGTATGTTCGCTGAACATTCAAAATGTCCAGTTTAAAAAAAAAAATGTTTTAAAAATGTTAAAGAAACATTCCATTTTGCAAACATTCAAGGATTGTTACTTTAGTAACAAGTAACAACATTTAAAAAATGTATGTTTTTGTGCTAACACTTTGAGAACATTATTAAAGACCATATAACTTTAAAAAAAAGTTCTGTTAACGTCACTGAAAGATCGTTTGTTCATAATTTTGAGAGAACCTTGCCAGAACGTTCCCTGTTGGCTGGGACATGGTCTATATACAATCAAAACCTCCACCGAAAATTCTTGACGATTCTTAGCCTTGCAAAGAAATGAGCTTAGACATAAGAAAGTCCCCATACAATCAACAAAATATATTTGATTATTTCCCTCATGATTATGATGAGTGCAACTTTAAAAAGTAGTGGAAATGCAGTAAGGCCATCCAAAATGAACCTGCAATATATACAGTATTTAGGCACATAGCTGTAACCCTTAAAGCTTCAATCGTCATTGGTAGCAGCTCAAAATGATGTGACGCTGTTCCACAGATTCTGTGCGTAAACATTGTGAGGCCTGGGCAACACTTTAAAACATAACAGAGGAAATCGGCTGCGCTGCAAACAAAGGCAAATCATAAACACAGATCCCGAAATAAGGCCGATTGCATAGAACGTGAGCTTGCTCTGTGTTCCACTTTCAAGACTGGGTGCGGGGCTTAAAAGGCCGAAATGTTTCTGCAGTAAACCGTTGATTTCTGAAATTGTTTTTAGAAAAATAAAAAGCCACGAATGTTAAGGAGATCATTCTGATGCGTTTGATCGGAGGGGGTTCAGTCCGTTTTGGTCTGATTGGCTTTCAGTCTGATGTGTCACTGAACGTTTTCCAGTTCATCAAGATATGGATTTGGGTTTGATCAGGTGTATTGTGTGACGTATTTTGGCTGGGACTGATCCGATTCATAGCAGAGCTGTTGCACCGTGTGACGCATCGATATTGATGTCAAGCACAAAAACAACCCTCATCAACTCCGCCCCACTCTGACTCGGAGACGGTAAAGCACCTACAGGATTTTGGGTTTCTGGGAGTGGGCTCTGTCCCTCAGTATAAAGCCATTGGCCGATTGCTGGGTGGCCCGAGAGCTGATTGGAGCTCGTGGGGGGAAGAGGGCGGGGCCGGGCTGGGCAGGTATCAGCTGATTGGCCCCTCCGTCTCTCCATCCTTGTCTGACTCGTCTTGTATCTCGTCAGTGTTCCCTGAGTCACTGCTCGCGGTTGAGCTGATGGAAGGAGAATTTCTGAAGGAATGAGATATTATACGCAGTCACATTATATGATAGATAGAGTTGTCAAAAGTACAGACTTCGGTACCAACTCTGTACTGAAATTTTAGAAATGTGATGTACCAGCATTTCCCTCTAGCATTTGAACGCTCTTAAAAACCTCTGATTGGCCATTGTGTTCACACGCTCAACATATATATCTGTGATTGGCCGTTGTGTTGATGCCCTCAACAAATATGTCTCTGATTGGCCATTGTGTTGATGCCCTCAACATATATGTCTGTGATTGGCCGTTGTGTTGATGCCCTCTACATATATGTCTGTGATTGGCTACAATAATCAACAATGACATCTTTGATGCTATTTATCGAGCGCTTGCATGGATACACATGAGAGCGTTTAAAAGCAGGCGTCTTTGATAGATGCCACTTTCAAACGCTCCTGTTTGTATCCATGTAAGCGCTTGATGAAGAGCATCAATGTCATTGTTGATTATTGTAGCCAATCAGAGACATATATGTTGAGCGTGTGAACACAATGGCCAATCACAGATATATATGTTGAGCGTGTGAACACAATGGCCAATCACAGACATATATGTTGAGCGTGTGAACACAATGGCCAATCACAGACATATATGTTGAGCGTGTGAACACAATGGCCAATCACAGACATATATGTTGAGCGTGTGAACACAATGGCCAATCAAGGGGGTAATCCATCGACCGGAAGTTGAAGCCGGCCGGGTCCCGCCATCTTGTAGCAGAACTTAACTTGCGTTAGCATTTCCATTGACTCCCATTCATTTTGGCATCACTTTGACAGCGAATAACTTTACATCTGAGGCGTTTAAAGACTCCATTTGTCCATTATTTATTTCTAAAGAAACACGACAATGTATAAAGGGCTCCATTACCTTCTATGTTACATTATGGCCCCGTAGAAACAGATTTTGTAAAAATAGGCTAACGATTGCGTCATAACCACTCGACTCTCTGTCGCGCTGTACAGAAATGACCGTACAGACAGGAGGAGAAGCTCGCAGGCGATCGGGGGGACGTCCCGTCAAGGGAGAAGCCCATAGATAATGAGTCCATAAAAGCAACGGAGTACTTACTCCTGCTCACTCACGCCAAAGAACTCTTTGCTCAAGTTCCCCGTCTCTGCAAGATTAACGTTGGCAATTTTCACGCACAGCTACTAGAAGATTAACGTCTGTCAGACAGGTTGCTCACGTCATCAAGCTTAGTTTGAGTCGGTTTCAGTCTGCGTGTCAGGAACGGAAGTGCTCAAAAATCGCTAAAAATGGGCTTCAACTGTCTCAACTGAGTTCCAATGAGATGGCTCTGTCCATTTCTTATACTGTCTATGTGGCCAATCAGAGGTGTTTAAGAATCCGTTCAACAGCGTTCAAATGCTAGAGGGAAAGGCTGGTATCGTCACATTTTTAAGTTTCATGGGATAAATGACACCAAATCTATCAGAGTTGTCAAAAAGAGTTGACTTCGGTACCAAGTCGGTACTTTTTGACAACTCTAATGATATATTTGGTGTCATTCATCCAACAATCAATGACACTGACACCGCAAATATGCAAATAAGGATGTTGAGTGTGAAAAGGCCTTCTGTTAGGCTTTGTCTTTAGCACTTTTGAAGACTATAAACAGTAGACATACTATAATCTGTTATTAGCAAAAGGCTTGTATTGTCTGAATGATCTGTGAGATCACCTGCCACCCTTGATCATTCTCCTGCAGGTCTCCATCTGCACATCCAGCCCTCGCTTCATGCTGCACATCTCCATGTACTCGTGCAGGTGTCTGTTCATGTCACTCTTAGCGGTGGCCAACTCCACCTGTGTGAGAGAGAGGACGATACTTAATCCCAGACACCTTCAACTCCGTCATAAACGAAAAGAGGTTCAGACGGGGGACAAACACAATCATAACCAATCACAGGCAAAAGAGAAAAACAGGCACATTCGAACCTCAATTTGTCCGATTGTCTTTTGATATTCCTGCTCTCTGGTCTTGAAAAGAGACTCGGTCTCATCGATGAGACTGCCGAGACTGCCGTCCTGAGAGGCACAACAGAGAAACAGACTCATTTCACTCATATTTCCTCTCAATCTGTACAGATGTACTGAGAACGACAACACGATACACTACTTTCCAAAAGTTTTTTGAAAGAAATGAATACTTTTATTCAGCAAGGATGCATTAAACTGATCAAAAGTGACAGCAAAGACATTTAAAATGCGACAAAAGATTTCTATTTCAAATAATTGTTGTTCTTTTGAACTTTTTTATTTATCTAACAATCCTGAAAAGAAAAATCTATCATGGTTGCCTCAAAAATATGAAGCAGCACGACAGCCAATCAGAATGAGTTCTGAAGGATCATGTGACTGGAGTAATGACGCTGAAAATTCAGTTTTGCATCACAGATGCAGCTTTTTTTGATGAGCTTAAGAGACATCTTTTTTTAAATCAACAACATTTAAATAACGAGTCAATACATCATCAGTCCTTCATCCAAAATGTGTTTTTGTCTTACCCTGATTCACTATGGTAAGCCTATTATAAGTGTTTTAGACCGGTCGGGATGGTTTTTGTGGGAAATTGTGTACATGTGTCACTCGCCCGTGTGTCTCTTCATATCTGTAAATAGAGTAAAGTTGCTCGGGTGCTTTGCTGTGTGTGTGTGTGTCTCATCATATCTGTAAATAGAGTAAAGTTGCTCGGGTGCTTTGCTGTGTGTCTGGTGTGTGTGTGTGTGTGTGTGTCTCATCATATCTGTAAAGTTGCTCGGGTGCTTTGCTGTGTGTGTGTGTGTGTGTGTGTGTGTGTGTGTCTCATCATATCTGTAAATAGAGTAAAGTTGCTCGGGTGCTTTGCTGTGTGTGTGTGTGTCTCATCATATCTGTAAATAGAGTAAAGTTGCTCGGGTGCTTTGCTGTGTGTCTGGTGTGTGTGTGTGTGTGTGTGTGTGTGTGTGTGTGTGTGTGTGTGTGTGTGTGTGTGTGTGTGTGTGTGTGTGTGTCTCATCATATCTGTAAATAGAGTAAAGTTGCTTGGGTGCTTTGCTGTGTGTGTGTGTGTGTGTGTGTGTCTCATCATATCTGTAAATAGAGTAAAGTTGCTTGGGTGCTTTGCTGTGTGTGTGTGTGTGTGTGTGTGTGTGTGTGTGTCTCATATCTGTAAATAGAGTAAAGTTGCTCGGGTGCTTTGCTGTGTGTCTGGTGTGTGTGTGTGTGTCTCATCATATCTGTAAATAGAGTAAAGTTGCTCGGGTGCTTTGTTGTGTGTCTGGTGTGTGTGCGTGTGTGTGTGTGTGTGTCATCATATCTGTAAATAGAGTAAAGTTGCTTGGGTGCTTTGCTGTGTGTGTGTGTGTGTGTGTGTGTGTGTGTGTCTCATCTGTAAATAGAGTAAAGTTGCTCGGGTGCTTTGCTGTGTGTCTGGTGTGTGTGTGTGTGTGTCTCATCATATCTGTAAATAGAGTAAAGTTGCTAGGGTGCTTTGACGCGTGTCTGGTGTGAGAGGTCAGAGGTTAGTTGTGTGTGTGTGTGTGTGAGGTCAGAGGTTAGTTGTGTGTGTGTGGTGTAAGAGGTCAGAGGTTAGTGTCACAACGAGTGAGAAATGTTGACATGGAGCCGCTAAATCTCCAACCTCCGGAGAATCACCCGTTTTAAACAAACTCCGAACAGAGGAGAGTCAGCTGGAGAAAAGAGAACGAGACCGAGCTCGTAATAAAACAAGAATCAACATCGGCTCGGCTTTTCAGAGATGGAGAACTGAGGGATTTGAAGTGTTGTAAATTTCTTGTTGTATGTATTGAGTTCATTGTAAAGCATCATCTATTGTGAAGGCTCATATTCATCCGCAGTCACTCAGAGCTGAACAGTAGTAGTGTATATGAATGAATGAATGAATGAGGCATTTATAATAGCGCTTTCATATGTACTACTGTACACCCAAAGCGCTTTACAATCATATCAGGGGTTCTCTCCTCAACCAGCACCAGTGTGCAGCATCCACTTGGATGATGCGACGGCAGCCACAGTACAACGGCGCCAGTGCGCTCACCACACACCAGCTATAGTTGGAGAGGAGAGAGAGTGATAGAGCCAATTCAGTGGATGGGGATTATTAGGAGGCCAATGGGTGGAATGTGGCCAGGACACCGAGGTTACACCCCTACTCTTTACGAGAAGTGCCATGGGATTTTTAATGACCACAGAGAGTCAGGACCTCGGTTTAACGTCTCATCCGAAGGACGGTGCTCTTTGACAGTATAGTGTCCCCGTCACTATACTGGGGCGTTAGGACCCACATAGACCACAGGGTGAGCGCCCCCTGCTGGCCTCACTAACACCTCTTCCAGCAGCAACCTGATTTTCTCAGGAGGTCTCCCATCCAGGTACTAACCAGGCTCAGCCCTGCTTAGCTTCAGTGGGCAACCAGTATTGGGCTACAGGGTGATATGGCTGCTGGTGATATAGATGATATAACTCACCGTGTCGGGAGCGTCTCCGTTGCAGTCGAGAGCACCGCTGCTGTTGGTAAGGGCACAGGGTATGTTGTAGTTGGTGAAATCTTCCCATAGCAGGAGCGTATCGTCGTTCTCCTCCCACGTCAGACTGTCACAGTCATCATCGACATCAAACGTCTCCCGCCTAGCAACAAATGAGTTATCTGAACAATGTCTGCACGCCAGGAAAAACAAAGGGACAGAAAAAGAGGAGAGAGAAAGAGCAGGCAGTGAAGACAATCACGGACAAGACAAGAGTGAAGCACAAAACAGGACGAATACATACAAACATACATATAGAGACTATATTCACGAGTTTTCCCTCAAATATTCTTCCAGTAACCTTTAATACAATGTTCGTTCAAAGTTATCTGGGACCAGTTGCGTAAACTTAGACCCAGTTTGACTAACTAGCAGTTAGCTAAGAGGTAATCAGTCTTACTTATCCAATTCAAATAAGACTTATCTACCTTTTTATGTAACTGACTTTAAAAAGTTAGGAAACAGTCTTGAAAAAAAACTTTTAAGACTAGTCTTAGCCGTCTTAGTCAAGCGGCCACTCGTCTTTAAAAATATTCTCAAAAGGTTTTATACTTGGTTCTTGAAATGTTTTTAACATAACCATGAAGAAACTAGACGTTTACAGAGAACATATTGTTAGCTGGGTCTGTTGTTTTCCAATGTGACTTTAGTGTGAAAGGGTCAATTTAAAGAAGCACTCCACCTGAACATGATTTATAATTTGTAATTAAATTAATCATTAATTTGAGTCAGTAAACTCAAAAACATTTTTGCATAAATCAAATTCAGGAATTAAAATGAATAAATGCTGTAGAAAATTTCTGCGAAAGTAGATGAAGCTCTTAACAGGAGTAAGAATCAGATGCTCAAACAGAGAAACACAGAGATTGAAGCTTTACATGGTCAAAAGATGAAAACCTCACTCCCCGTTCACTGGAAATGCATGGAAAAAGCCTACCCCCCCAACCCCCCACCCCCCCCCCCATTGCTTCTCTCCGTCTGCAATTCTTGTCATCACCACTCGATGGAGACAGAGTACAGACATGAAGCAATCTCTGACTGCAGTCTGACACTGGACTCACAGCTGGTTGAACATGCGCTTCATCTCGTCTGTGATGTTAAAGGGAACGTCCTCCTCTGAAGTGCTGGGATCAGCATCCATCTCTGAGCTTTCCTCATCCGAGACCTGCTTCTTCTCCTTCTTTCTGCATGCAACCGCCGCCTGAGACCAAGAATATTACAGGCATATTAAAAGCCATGGACATATAGTGTGTGTTTGGCAGCAATGCAGTGTGACAACCTTGTGTGCACTGCAGTAAAGATCCTTCCTCAGCAGTTTTACTCGTGCGATCTGTGTGTTTTACGCACCCTGTCTGCTGGCGCTCTGGAAGGACTGATGTTGAACATCTTGGACATGTCCTCTGAGTTCCTCTGCTGAGCCACGTCACACAGTTTGGCCGTGATGTCGATTCTCCTGCAGATGTCCATGTCCACCTTCATGGCTTTCTCCTGAATCTTGGAGTCGAGGTCGGACATTTGCTAAACAAAGATTCGAGCAGTGTTAGAAAATGAGAAGAAAACTATTGGTGTGCAAACTATTATGATGCTGGAGAAACAAGAATGACATTTGTAATGTCATTAGATTTGTGCTTAGTCACAGTTTGTCTCCAAACCTGGCCTATAAATATCTGTAGCTTTAAAAAAAGCAATCGTCACTTTATTCTCACTCCCATGCCTCTATATTTACACATAGGCCACGTGCACACTGCAAAGTTTTGCCATGTTGACATGGGCTAAATACAGTCAGTATTTGATTTGACAGCCGCATTTATTAACAGGTGTGACACTCCAATTGTCCATGTAGTGAAGCACATACTGCCTGTCTGAACAAGTAAAGAGATAGTTCAACCAAAAATGAAAATGTTTTCATTACTTACCCTCAAACAACACAAAAGATGATATTTTGAAGAATGTTGGTAATCAGACAGTTGACGGCACCCATTGACTTCCATAGTATTTATTTTCTTACCATGGAAGTCAATGGGTGCTGTCAACTGTCTAATTACCAACATTCAAAATATCTTATTTTTTTTGTTCAACAGAAGAAAGAAACTCATACAGGTTTGGAACAACATGAGGGTGAGTAAATGATGGGTGAACTATCCCTTAAGCAAAATAAATCCACTTTTCTATTGTAACCATAAATGACACAATTTAATTATTAAAGATGGTCCAATCGATGAGCAAATTAGTTCAAATTTATAATTTTTCTAATTTATACTTATTTATTTTGAAAATAAATGTTAAAAAATTTTATATAAATTTTTTGTATATTTTAAAATTATTTAAAAACGATATATTTAAAATAATTTTTTTTACAAATTTAAAAGAAAAATATATATTTAAAAAAAAAAAGCATAAATATTAGTTTTTTTAAATAAAGACTAAAAATATCTATTTTAATATTTATTCAAATTCATTTTTCTAATAAATTACATGCACATTAACAAAATACACATTGCATTAAGAACTGATTGTTCAGTTTGGTTCTCTCCTACACACTGCATTCATGAAAACTCTTTTTTCTGGAGTGAATTGGGTTGGAAAATGCAGTTGTCGCATATAAATAACTGAACTGAGTGCAAAAGGATTCATTGATAATCATATTTAGCTGCAGTATTTATATAGGTGAATAAACTGATCCAAACCAAGAAACTCATTCTCTTAAAAACACACTATGCCACGGGATCACTTCAGATCACTGTAATCTCATGCTGAACGCCAATCACATCAGTCATAATAAATCAATGTCATTGCACACAGATGCTAAGACCAACAAGTTAGTCTTGTGGTGAATCCACAGGCTGCACGCAACAAACTCGAGCAGTTCATTTCACCTAAAGGCCTCATGGGAAACAATTGCTCTGACTCATTTATTGTGTATGTAGAAGAGGAAAAGGCAGAGCACCAAACCGCAGATGCTGAACTAATGCGTCCCTCTGTGTGTGTGTGTGGTTTGTTCATTAAAAACACAACACACAGAGTGCAAGAAACAGATGCGAATCAAACGAATCAAAGCAATTGTTTTCCTTTATTAAACACAGATCATGTCTTGCATTCTCTCTTACTTTCAGGTCCAGGATTTTCCTCCGGTTCTCTACGGCTCTAGAGCGGCATCGCCCGCCAGCCTTTATAATAAATACAGATTTCAGTTCAGTTTTTATTGCCCCAAATCTATTTCTAATATTTACCGGCACACGGTGACACTCGTGTGAATGACTAGCTGACAGACGAGGCAATCCGAGTCGAGCAAAGTTTAACGCTAACCCGTTAATCCAGGATAAACCGTTTATTCATTCCTCACCATCCAGATCAGCTGGTATAAACTGAAGGTGTGTATGTGTTTTATACTGAAACAATGACAATGTGGGCATGTGTGTGTTGCCTGCCGCAGGGGAAATTTCTCTGCTGTCACGAAACAGAAGTCGTGGAAAACACACAGTCACTGGGTTAACTTAAGCTAATAAACACCTGATTGAGATTCTTATCAAATGTAGTGAAAACAACATTCACATGAAATATTACGTTTTATTGGGACTGCAAACAGGGATCTGATGATGTGATAAAGCACAGTAATTACACTGAACTTTATGAACTTAACATGATATAAAAAATGCTAACATTCCCATTAAGGTATAAAAAACGTTTTTTATCCTCCACTAAATGCTTTATGAAAGTTCAAAATGTCGTTTATTGTTTATGCAAATTTTAAGGGAACATTCCATTTGATCATTTTGCAAACATTATGGAAATGTTACTTTTGAATGTTCTCTAAATGTTAAACTGAAACATATCAGACAAAACATTCCATCTGATGTTTTGAGAACATTATTAAACGAACGCTTTATTAACGTTCCTGGAAGAACGTTTGTTTATAACCTTACGGGAACGTCACTCAGGGAAGAAATGGTCTGTGTGTGGACATACTCACATCGCTCATGAGGCTCTTAAAGACCACCAGTTCAGCTTTCAGTCTTTCAACCTTCTCGTTCAACCCGTCCTGAGCGGCTTCAGACTCGTTCACGTTCTGAAAACACACACACACACACAGACACAAAAGCAAAGCAACATAAGAATACATTAAACAGCCTGTGTGTGATGACATTTCACTCTGGGTCTGGGTTTAGGTTTAGCTGGTTAGTTTTCGCTTCTATACAAAGCGTCTCCATTGACAACCATTAAAACCATTTTTTATTTGGTCAAAAATACAGTAACAACAGAAATATTGTGTAATATTATTACAATTTAAAATAACTTTTTTTTTTTTTTATATACACTACCGTTCAAAAGTTTGGGGTCAGTGAGAATTTTATCAATACTTGATTGAGGAAAGAAATCAATACTTTTATTTATCAAGGAATAATTAATTTGATCGAAAGTGACAGTAAAGACATTTATAATGTTACAAAAGATTCTAACCCTAACCCTATTCATCAAAGAATCCTACAAAAAAAAAAAAAAAACTGTACAACTGACAGACCAACAACTGTTTCAACATTGATAATAATAATAAATGTTTCTTGAGCATCAAATCCTCATATTATACTGATTTGTGAAGGATCATTTGACACTGAAGACACTGACACTGGTGATGCTGAAAATTCAGCTTTGATCACAGGAATAAATTACACTTTACTATATATTCACACAGAAAACAGCTGATTTACACTGGAATAATATTTAATACTATAACTGATTTTTGTTGTATTTTTAATCAAATAAGCGCAGCCATGGTTAGCAGAAGAGAATTCTTTTAAAAGTATTTAAAATCGTACCGACCCCAAACTTTTGAACGGTAGTGTATATTAAAATGTAATTTATTCCTGTGATCAAAGCTGAATTTTCAGCATCATTACTCCAGTCTTCAGTGTCACATGATCCTTCAGAAATCATCTTGATCCTCAAGAAACATTTCTGATTATTATCAATATTAAAAACAGCTGTGCTGCTTAATCCTTTTGTGGAAACATTGCTTTTCAGGATTCTTTGATGAGCAGAAATTTCAACAGCATTTATTTGAAATAGAAATGTTTTGTCACTTTTAGGTCACATTTGCAGTTCAATTAAATGAATAAAATAGACATGTTTTTGTTATTAGATAGATAGCTTACAACAGCCCTTCACATCACTTTAATAATAAAGCCTACAGATGTTCATGTTAAACGGCCTAAAGCACAATCACCCCAGCTTGAACACAACACACACTCCAGTCTAATGAAAGGCTGAAGGTTGGAGAGGAAATCCATACGGCTCAGGGCAGAACTGGGAAAGATGGGCATGTTTGGGCTCTCCGGGGACGGTTCTCTCCTCTGCGCTTTTGCTGACCCATAATCCAATACAAACAGATGCAGCCGTTTATTGATTTTCCCGCTGCTTCAGCAGAAGATGAATCTCACACCTGCAGTGTGATTCTGGGGAATATGGGGCGTTCGAGACATGGGATGCAGCACTACTGTTGATGTGGCGGTCCAGTAGTTCGGCTTCTGATGTCATGTTTAAACACCGACACGCTTAAATGCATCCTGACCCAGATTGTCACACACACACACACTAGTTTAAAGCTACATCCCAATTCAGAGGCTGCATTCGAAGGCCGATTGCGTCACCGCTGCGCAACGAAGGCTGTCATAATTCGAAGCCTGCATAAAATCCGGCTTCAAAATGCATCCTTCTTTTCCCGGGAAATAAAGGATACAACAGATGAATCCTTCGCAGACTTGCCTACCCAGAATTCATTGCACGCTGGTGACGAATCCAAGTATTGGGTTTCAACTTACTCAAATATCTAATGACACAAATGTAGAACATAAAACTTTAAAGCGATTCAAACAGGGCCTAAAATGAACACTCGTCAAGCGCCAAATGCGAGTAAAAATATGAAACAATGTCATTTGCAACATTTTCATGAATTCTAACAATGCAAAATTGTCCGAACATAAACAAACGTGAACGACGATCAGGCCAGCTGATGGGAGTGTTGCATCGCCATGAAAGTTAAAGCCTTGCCAATTTAAATATTCAAGCAAGAAGATGCGAAAGGGAACTCAATTCTTTATTTGCGCACTGTGTGGGAACTTCTGGGAAGTTTTCTGTGCGCAAACTGAGCTCTATTACACGTCTTCTTGCGCTTGGACAGACATATTCAAACTAAACGATGACTAAATGCCCATCTTGGCAAGTATCCTTGTAAACATAGTCGGTTATGAACGTAAACAGTTGTGTATCAGTATATTGGATCCATGCATTAGCTCTTAAAGTGACAGGAGCCTAATAGTCCCGCTGCTGTCTGTATTTTTAATGTTGATCAAACAACAAAATAATGTCAAAGAACAATCACTAAATTCTCTTGACTGAATAATTTTTGTAACTTTAATAAGGATTAATCTAGGTTTCATGGCTGGTAAAAAAATATTTATGGCTGGTAAATTTTCTTAAGTCACCAGCCATTGGCAGGTGTGGCAAAAAGTTATAGTTTCTTTAGGTCTTGTGTTCAAATGTTGACTTATATCTTACTAAGATACTCTTTATTATGTACAGAAATGGATCATCCGCGCTTCTTCAGCAGTGTAGAAAGCACGCGCACATGGTTGCCAGATACTATTGAAAAGACCGGGTAGAAAACGGGCTCTTTTAACAGAAAAGCTCTGACTGGGGTTTAAATTATTGAAATCTGGCAGCCGTAAGCATGACCGCTCGTAAAAACAGTCTGTAATGTGTTGTCTCCTCCTTTATTCGACAAAAATAAGTGGTTTTGGTCAAGTTTTTATTTTTTTTAAATACATTTCAGTCTCGTCTTTTTTGTCAAAGGATATTGCATGTGTTGATATAGTCACAGTTATGGTTTAATAATGGCATGGGTGTCCTCTCTCATCGTCTTGTCTTAGTCCGGGGGAAAAAAGGTCATCAACGTACATTTTTCGTCATAGTTTTCGTTAACTAAATGAACACTGGTGACAATAAAATATGTAATTTTTTATCTTTTTGACCAAATTTGAGATCCCCCTTCAAATTGTTCTTTTATGGCTGTTGACTTATATCTTACTAAGATACTCTTTATTATGTACAGAAATGGATCATCCGCGCTTCTTCAGCAGTGTAGAAAGCGCGCGCACATGGTTGCCAGATACTATTGAAAAGACCGGGTAGAAAACGGGCTCTTTTAACAGAAAAGCTCTGACTGGGGTTTAAATTATTGAAATCTGGCAACCGTAAGCATGAACGCTCGTAAAAACAGTCTGTAATGTGTTGTCTCCTCCTTTATTCGACAAAAATAAGTGGTTTTGGTCAAGTTTTTATTTTTTTAAATACATTTCAGTTGTCAAGGATATTGCATGTGTTTATATAGTCACACTTATGGTTTAATAATGGCGTGGGTGTCCTCTTCTCATCGTCTTGTCTTAGTCAGGGGAAAAAAGGTCATCAACGTACATTTTTCGTCATAGTTTTCATTAACGAAATGAACACTGGTGACAATAAAATATGTAATTTTGTATCTTTTTGACAAAATTTGAGATCCCCCTTCAAATTTTTCTTTTTTCAGGCTTTCAGGAGGTCTCATGGGTTAATCGGGGGAGTCGAGCCCCCCTGGAACCCCCCCCCCCCCAGGTCCCAGGTCTTGGGTTCAAATGTTGACTTATATCTTACTAAGATACTCTTTATTATGTACAGAAATGGACCATGGTGAACATGTTTAGACAAGTTGCGAACCCTGTTTTATTTTCAGACAGTTGAATATAACTTTCAAAAAAGTCCAGTACAAACCTGACTGTGAACGGCAGCTGTCACAGTTGCTAGACGACAAGAACAATCCTCTGTAAGCTAGACCGTCCCATTTAACACGCTCGGTCTGACCTTCACGGCCTTCGAAGGACGCAGCCTCTGAATTGGGACACAGCTTATATTTGCTCAGATCACATGTGTGTGAACTTTACTCATCATGTATTTTAGCATGATGGTATGATGTGTGGTTGTTTAATATTCATTCTTTAACAAATCACAAATCACTTTTGATTGCACTATACATTTGCAGATAAATTTTGAAAAATACATTTTGCATTCACTCAAAATGTATTTTAAGATTGGAAATGTACTGTGTTTTCTGGCACCTTGAAGTATAATTTCTAATATATTTCCTCATATTATTTGTTTGCTAATTTTAATAAATATATTTTCAATGTAAATATATTTATGTTGTCCAAAATACATTTTGCATTCATTTAAAACGTATTTTTTAGACCAGAAAGGTATTTTTTCTTAAGACTTGACGTATTTTGAATTATCTCAAATATTTCTTCAATATATTTCCTATATTTTAAAATGCATTTTAAGATTGGAAATGTAAAAGGTAACTTCAGGAAAAGTTTGGGCTATAAAATCATATTAATGACATTCTTAAAAATAAAGGCGGTCCAAAAGGGGGGGTTTCACAGTGATGCTAGAAGAACCATTTTTCAGTTCATGAACCTTTCAGTCAACAGTTCATAAAACAGTTTTAATTTTTTTAAATCTTTTGTGGAATGGAAAGACTTCATTGATGTTAAAGGTGGAACCGTATGGAACCGTACCGTAATGGAACCGTACATACTAGTAAAGAACCTTTATTTTTATCTCTGTCTGTATAATGCCAGTGTGTTACCCTGCATCAGGATATCTGGATGTGTGCACTCATGCAAGATTTCAGGGTCGTAAAGTGACACACACACGTCATGTAACGGCAAATGTAATTAGTATCACAGCGAGAGCGTCTCGACGGCTCCTGCTCAGGTGATCTCACCTCCTGCAGCGTCTCCACCATCGACTCCATCTGTTCTCTTCTCGACAGCTCCTCTTCCCATCTGCAACACACAGACACACCTTTGATGAGTATCACAGGGCTGGACGGTATGAATCAAATCTTATATCACACTTTGAGTCATTTTATATCATGGTAACGGTGTGCATAACAATATCATTATTTTATATTATGACAACTTTCCTGTTGTGGCAACAATGTCAAAGTCTCATTTTGTGGAGAATGCTAATCTAACTTTTTTTTAATGGAGCTTAATGGGATCAAACCACAAGATCAGATAATTCATAACAAATAAAAAATCGGACATCAGGGCAAAAACAGATTCACATTATGTAGTAGCAGTAAAAACAAAACAAAAGACTCACTCAAAGCAATGCTCTTTTTTTAAAGTCTTGATTTTGTTTTTGGGCTCTACTAGAATAGGTTTGCAAGCTTGAATGTTCAAAAGCACATTATTTTCCTCATATTCTCCATTGTTGCAGCTAGTCTGTCAGTAACGCTCTGTTTAGTTTCTGTCTCTATGAAGCCCCTCCTTCTGTAAAGCACACTGTGCTCTGATTGGTCGGCTGGAGCAGTGTGTTGTGTTTGGTCGAGCGCTTCGAGTGTGTTTGGGAAATATCCCGCTCCTTTCCATAACCGCCAGTTTAACACACTACTAACTAACTCAACCAGGCCCCGCCCCTTTATTCTGCGTATTAATTATTATAATGAGGAATATTGCAGCGTGTTCGTTCCCGGAAGAAACTCGAGGCGTTTCAGGGAGTTCAGAAACACTGACACTGATATAGAGAAGAACTCCCGCTGGAGGTGCCTCCAGAGGGTAAAATGCCAATGGCAATATATCTAAACCTGTGACAACATCAATTATCATTTTGCCTTATGTTACAGTTACAATTATGCTTATAACCAAAGAGATTTACAACAGAGAAATATAAGTAATTCAAAGCCACAGAGCCAATAATATTCATAGTTTACAATGCCAGGTTTATTAGAAAGCACGATATACCTAACAACAGCCTTTAAAGTCTTGACTTGGTTGGATCCCGTTTGTGATTTTGCAATAATGCAAGTATCTTTGTTGCATTCAAGTGTAAATATCATAAAGCAGTCCTGCCCAGTGATAGCCATTCATTCTCTGATTATAAACACAGGAGCTCGTCATCTCCATTTCAGTGTGATTGATCCTTCAGGTCAGGAATCCTCGCCCGGGGTCTGCTGGCGTCTGTGGTCTGTGCGCCCACCCCTGGTGTCTCTGTAACCCAATACTGACCGTGGAAAACCAGCACAAACTGACCGAAGGGCGGATGTGTGTGAATCATTCATGTTACAGATGATCACTGAAACACTGGAAACATTAACTGGATGCCATTAGCAATATACATATCTAGTTTAGTCATGAGGGCGCAGGCTGATCGGTCCTTTACATGCAATCTGTTAACAATCACATGATTACCACATGGCACAAGCTGATTGGCCTCTGCTGATCCTGCAGCCAATGAGATTGCTTGCTTAATATTTGAATAGTCTGGTTCAGAGTTCCTCTGTTTTATGTATGTCTATTTATGAAGCCGCAGCATATCTTACATGCTCACAGCAGCGTGTCTGTGTATCTGTTAGCAAAGACCACATACATTAACGTTGCCATATTCAGTAACATGCTAAAACTATTTTGAGACTTGTCATGTTTGAAATATACATATTATAAATATATCATATTTAATTAATATATCTTAAAGACATTTAATTCAGCAAGGATGCGTTAAACTGATCAAAAAGATTTTATAATGTTTTATTTATTTCTATTCATCAAAGAATACTGACAAATAATGGCTTCCACAAAAATATGAAGTTTTTTTTTCAACATGGATAATGAATATTTCTTGAGTAGAAAATCAGCATATTAGAGTGATTTCTGAAGGATCATGTGACACTGAAGACACTGAAAAATTCAACTTTGGTCACAGGAATAAATTACATTTTAAAATATATTCACATAGAAAACAGCTATTTTAAATAGGAATTATATTTCACAGTATTACTGTTTTTACTGTATGTTTGATCAAATAAATGCAGCAAAAGAGACTTCTTTCAAATTCACTAAAAAATCATACCGCCCCAAACTTTTGATCGGTAATATAAATACATATATATGAATATATATAATTGTGTTACAAGGATGATTAATAATAATATTGATAATATTAACAATAAATATATTTGGGTTTGCATAGAGATTTGGATGCATGTTTAAAGTATAGAATCAAACATTATTTCATTATGTGGTCTCTGTTTGGTTTTTAGCAAGTACATTAAAACCAGGAAACAAGAAACCACAACCCCGAGAACAGCTTCTGAAGCACTAAAAGCATTACTTACATACATGCATCGTCTGCTTACAGCCTGCAAACTATGATTGACAGCTGTAAAAAGGCAGTTTATCAAACTTGTAAACAGAATGTAGCGTGTTTGCACGCCGGAGGGCTTCTTTCGACAGGGAATCAAATCATTTCTGAGGCATCACTCCCTGTTGCTACAGCACGAAAATCCAGCATTGAGTCTTGATCACATCCACGGCCAGCTGAGGTCAACACTCGGCCGGCATCACCGTTACTACGGGGAAGTAAACAGTTCACTTCCCTCCTCGTGAATGAGACACAGACCCATGTGATGTCAGCATACTAATTAGGGCACTTGATAATCTCGAGTGGCTGAACTGGAGACTGCTCTATAGACACACACACACATGCTCTCAAACGCACATAAAACACTTCAGCTAAACACTTGCCTTCCCAAAACACACACTGTCGACCTTTCCTTTATTGTTGCCACAGAAACTGTGGCAGAAAACACACACTTTAAACCAAGGAAACCTCTTGAAAATGGGCAAAACACAAGTTGTTTGTCCTAAAAAGTTCACACACATTCACTTCTGCAAACTACAAACACTGAACTATTATTTACAATGGCATTCAAAAATGTGGCTCAGTGTCAGGAAGATTGTTTAGATGCATTAAATGAATATGAATTTAATCAAGATATCTATCTATCTAACCCAATAACCTGCTAACCTTCCGTACAGTAAGATATTTGATCTCCCGCTGGTCACTGTATTCTCTCTCTCTCTCTCTCTCTCTCTCTCTCTCTCTCTCTCTCTCTCTCTCTCTCTCTCTCTCTCTCTCTCTCTCTCTCTCTCTCTCTCTCTCTCTCTCTCTCTCTCTCTCTCTCTGTGTGTGTGTGTGTGTGTGTCTGATTGGAGCGTGGGAGATATGGCTGGACTGATGGTGATCGAACGCTGTTCCTAAAGTGCTGGTGTGTGAATCACGCTGGTGCAGAGCTCTGCAGGTCACTGGAGTTCATCATCCGCATCAGCCAATCACAGCACAGCACAGCGCATCACTTCCTGCTGGAGGCAGGGTGGCGTCACCACTGATGCAGAGGACAGAAGGACACAATCTGATCACAATGGACAGTCTGGACGCTTTACAGGGTGAAGAGAGTCTTACTGTCATTAAGTGATCTCATGAATATTTCAACAATATATACTATATAGAGAGATATTAAAGCATACACTATGAGATGCATGCATTTTTCACTGAGATATTGGATATGTTTACATTCATGCAAAGCTTTATTTTCCCCATGGACAGAAACTGCAGTGTTGCAGCAGTGAAAATATTCTGCCATCAGGTTCAAGATATGACTCATGATATGAGGTATTTGATCTTCAAAATTAGTTTTTGTGATTTTTAGTCCATGTTTGTTGCCTTTGAAGTCATCTATATGATAGTACATTTAACTAAATTAACTAGCAGCTGATGTACATGATATATAAATAATAAACGATAAACTAAATATAAATAATAAACTAAATAATAAAGAGCGACAATCAGCCAGCGTCTATAACACAATGGTTATTCACTTCACCTAAACCCACAATTATATCTAGAGCAAATCGTGAGGAATGATTTGAATCCAGTCAACACTGAACCTAATCTCATCTGGACAGAGTCAGACAGGAATGACAGCAATAATAAGAGAACTAATTCATTCCCAAACAAACCCCATAAGGACAGCTGGACCGGTGACAGGCTAATATAGACCTTACAAGGACAGATGAGAAACGACAGTCATCACACAGACATCTGGCTACTGACCGCATGCCTTATGAATGAGTCCCATCATGCACTGCACACATGACTCAGTGTCACTAAAACACCTCAGTTAATGTCATTGCTGCTCGAACATCATCAGTCACTGACTGATGACCTAGTTGGGGAATACAAGTAGTACAAAAATGAATTACATTTCAAATAGGTTGTAAATGTGAATGTTGTCAGAGCCAAAACCAGCCAGAAATTATAACTCATTTAGCCAGTTGATGAGAAGACAGACTCGAACGTTTCCCATCATTCTCTACAGGAGCTCAAGAATAATAAAATGCACAGATAAAGCAGGTACTGCATCTTTTGGTCTTCTTTATTTGTTGCATTAGCTCTAAAAAGCTTATAGAGGGGAAAAATATGCATGGCCAAACTCATAAATACTAATATCCCAGGAGGACTGACCACTTCCAGAGGGATATGTTAATATCTTGTATATGAGAGGGAAAATGTTTACGGCCAGCCGTTTGCATACAGTAATGAAGGTCTCTGGCTATAAAAGTCATGTGTTATGGGTCTGTTTCTTCTACACCCCTGAGCCATCTTGGATGAGAGCACATCGCGTGCAGATTAAATGCTTAAAGCACTGCAACCTGTTCCCTGACTTTTTTTTTCTTTCTTTTTTTCTGTGACAATTTATTCTACTTGTCTCAATCTATTCAAAGGTGTGTTGACCAGTGATTCATCTTAGCTGAAATACTGCTGCATGCGCAGAAATAAAATGCAGGAAATCAGCGAGTTGTTTGTTCGTAGAGTTTATGAGTCTATGATTAACCTGAGATCCTCAGGAGAGAAGGAACACATCTTTCTGTGCTCATTCAGTGTGTGTGTGTGTGTGTGAGCGGACAGCAGGCTGACCATAATCAAAGTCATAAATCACACA